GGCGCCTCATGGTACCTATGCGCAGTCGCACTTGGCGCTGCATGCTTGATCAGAGGTTAAGCCTCATGAACCTCATGTCTTGTTATCATAGATCCTAGATATACTATAGATTACAGACTGAGCTTAAACACTTATAGTTAGACCCTATAAGTAGACAGATTATTGTACTTAGACTTTACTTTAATCTACTAGGTTCATCCCAGAACTTGTTCAGCTAAGCCCCCAGCTCAGCTGCCTAAAGACCGCACTTCTAAGTTGCTCCCCGCTTCTTAGCCATATCCGCTAGCCCTGTATCTCGACGAGCGCTGTCTTACCGAGATCACTGGAGGAACCCTTGACGTTCCGTCAAGCTGAGAACCACCCTTAGCTTCAGTAGACTCACTCGAGTCGTCGCTGAGAAGACCTATCCTAGTTTGCACACGCCAACCGACGGTCAGCGTAACAAGTACTGGGTTTCAGGTTTCGACACTCGACACTTGGTGATTTGTGCAACAAGTGAAAAATGGACATGTTGTGTACATGATTTTGGGTTTCGGGCTTCGGGTCTCAGCCCTCGGCACTCGGAACTCGATGATCCGTGTAATGTAAATGAAAAATGGACATGTTGCACACTGGGGATTGAGTTTCAGGTTTTGGCACTCGAAACTTGGTGATTTGTGCAATGAGTGAAAAATGGACATGTTGTGCACATATTTTCGGGGTTCGGGTTTCGGCCCTCAGAACTCGATGACTTGTGTAATATAATTGAACAATGGACATGTTGCACACCCAGTTTTGAGTTTCAGGTTTCGGCACTTGAAACTCGGTGATTTGTGCAACAAGTGAAAAATGGACATGTTGCATACATATTTTCGGGTCTCGGGCTTTGGGTCTCGGCCCTTGGCACTCGGAACTCGATGATTTGTGTAATATAAATGAAAAATGGACATGTTGCACGCCGGGTTTCGAGTTTCAGGTTTTGGCACTCAAAACTCGGTGATTTGTGCAACAAGTGAAAAATGGACATGTTGCGCACATATTTTCGGGGTTCAGGGTTCGGGTCTTGGCCCTCGGCACTCGGAACTCGATGATCTGTGTAATGTAAATGAAAAATGAACATGTTGCACGCCGGGTTTTGAGTTTCAGGTTTCGGCACTCAAAACTCGGTGATTTGTGCAATGAGTGAAAAATGGACATGTTGCATACATATTTTCGGGTCTCGGGTTTCGGCCCTCGGCACTCGGAACTCGATGATCTGTGTAATATAAATGAAAAATCAACATGTTGCATGCCGGGTTTCGAGTTTCAGGTTTTGGCACTCAAAACTTGGTGATTTGTGCAACAAGTGAAAAATGGACATGTTGCATACATATTTTCGGGTCTCGGGCTTCGGGTTTTGGCACTTGGCACTTGGTTATTTGTGTGATATCAATGAAAAATCAACATGTTGCACACTGGGTTTCAAGTTTCATGCTTTGGCACTCGAAACTCGGTGATTTGTGCAGTGAGTGAAAAATGGACATGTTGCGCACATATTTTCGGGGTTCGGATTTTGGCTCTCGGAACTCGAAACTCAATGACTTGTGTAATATAATTGAACAATGGACATGATGCACACTGGGTTTCAAGTTTCATGCTTTGGCACTCGAAACTCGGTGATATGTGCAATGAGTAAGAAATGGACATGTTCCATACATATTTTCGGGTTTTGGGCTTCGGGTTTCAGCACTCAGCACTCGGAACTCAATGATCTGTGTAATGTAAATGAACAATCGATGTGTTGCACACTGGGTTTCAAGTTTTGGGTTTCAGCACTCGAAACTCGGTGATTTGTGCAGTGAGTGAAAAATGGACATGTTGAACAATGGGTTTCAGGGTCTCGGGTTTGAAAAATAGCATAATAACAACTTTCATGTTTTCATTATCATTTGCCTATATTGACTACCAAGTCCGATAAGGGACCCCTTGGATGATCCATTGCTCAATGAAATACTACCTGATTGGAAGTGTGCTGGTTATCAGATATTCATTTGTCAACTCCCGGGTCCCGGAACTCGGAAGTCGGTACGGTTGACCCAAATTTGGGTGGTTGGAACTTGGCATCTCATAGGGCAACACAAGCTTCGCACCCTGGATTCCAAATTCTGCAAGACAACCTGTGCACCATCAAAGGCCATGTCAGGAGATCACCTGCTGCTCCAGGAACTCGGGAACTTTGATTTATTACCTCCTCTGAGTACGGTTGACCCAAAGGTTGATAATCAGAACTTGGCTTCTCGTAGGGCAACACAAGCTTCGCACCCCGGATTCCAAATTTTGCAAGACAACCTGTGCACCATCAAAGGCCATGTCAGGAGATCACCTGCTGCTCCGGGAACTTGGTAACTTTGATTTATTACCTCCTCTGATTTGGTTGATGTACAACTACCTCAGCTCCATCATGTCTACAATTATGATACACATGGGCCCACCCATCTATATTTTATACCACCCTCGGCCCACCCGTCTAATACAACATCCCATACAACACCCTCAGCCCACCCGTCTAATTAATATGTGTCTGGGGCCCACCCATCTAATACAATATTTTATAATACCCTCGGCCCACCCGTCTAATTTAATATGTGTCTGGGCCCACCCGTGAATGTGATAACAAGTACCTACCCATCTATCTCATACACATCTACCTTAATACACCCATCTGCATAATATCCAACTACCTCAGCCCACCCGTCTACCTAATATTCATGTACATCGGCCCACTCATCTACTCTATATATTCCCTGCATGGGCCCACCCGCCTCCATCGGGAATAATTTGCCTCCCGGCCCATCTGTCATAGTCGAGGATATTTTTATCATGGGCCCATGGTCCGCTGGCCCATATCATACGGGATATTATGCACGTCCATTCCCTCGTATTATATGGAGATAGGTCACTGTAATATGTGCTCCAACTACGGTACTGAGTCCTATGCGCCCTCTCACAACATGTTCCAGAATGCGGACAAGGAGGGTCATGCATGGGATATTACGGCTAACCTCCTTGAAAACCTATTGCCCATTGTAAAGAGTTGATTCTATGTGGGCACTACAAAAGTGTTACCTTAAGACTCAGAGTGTGAGTGAGATGTTCATCCCAAAGAGACTGCCTATAGAAATGCTCCTTGATATAATGCAAGGGATATCTTATTAAGATCGAAGGTGAGAGAAGGGAAAGCTACCAAAAGTGCACTCGGTGTTCCGAGGATGTGTCCGAAGTACCGAAGTACTCATCTGATGAGGTCCAAAGGTGGTCTGATGTTGAGAAACGAAGATCTGAGGTTGTGTGAAGCGTCCAAAGAGCTTCCGGTGAACAGCAAAGGTTCTGAGAGAAGTACGGCGGGTGTGTCGAAGTATAAGACTTGCAAAGTATGACTAGGCAAAGTCTATCGAAAGAACTTAGAGACAGTGAGATGCGAAATGGCAGTGGCCAGGCCAAACAATCGTTCCGAATGAACAAAAGATCGATTGCGTGAAGTACGACTATCCGAAAGTGACTCTACTAACTATGACTCATAGCAGGGAAAGTGAAGTGAAGTGTGAGTAGCTAGCAAGGCAGATTATATCCTTCAGCGTGAATGTCCAGAAACTGCATAGGCAAAAACAGTAGCGAGATAAGCCATCCGAAATGTAATAAGACTCGAGGCGAGCCGCTACAGAGATCTGCATGTAATAACATGTGAGGTGTGCTGCTATACATATAACCAATGGTTTTCGACGGGCCGACAACATATGTGCCCCTAAGACATAATCAATAACACATAAACAAGTGAAAAACGCACCAGCGAAGTCAAATGGACACGGATGGGACATGGTACGGAGGATCAGAACTGTATACAGGCCTCAGAAATGGACGGGCGACCTTTGGACAACTCGGATGAAGGCACGGAACTCTTGGAAGGTAAATGGAGTGTTGAGGCATATGTATGTGGGATACCTATGAGATTGGCAGGATATGAGCCCAACGCCAATCCAAGTGCTACACCGTTCCCAATGCAAGCTTATCATCTGAGCTTATGATTGTGACTGATATAGTTGCTGAATATTCTAGGCGGTTCATACGCAAGGTTCAGCTCAGCTTGAGGATACCCGCCCACCCTTGCAAGGGTATGACATTCCAGATAGTGTTCGTCGCCATTCTTTCATTTCACTTCCTATTCTGACCTTAAAACATTTAGTCCTCTGTGAGGCATCATCCCAACAATGAGGAGACACTGCAACTCCAACAACTTGCAAGGCACAATTCTATTTCTCATCATGGCCATAGTTTCATAGGATTTGCTGCAGTAAAGGACAAAGGGGTCTGTCTGTCTTACGCGTCTTACACTCGCTGTGGGTCAATAATATCTCTATAGGCATTATATGTTGCTCCATGACCTAGACAAGCCCAGCTGCAGCATGCTCAGACAAAATCTTCTACATCCACACCACCTCATGCTACCACAAATGCACCAACCGCACAGTCACATCCTATCATCATCGATAAACATACATGGTGGACTCGTTTCTGGTTGATTGTCTCTAACAAGCACCCTCAGCTCGCTGTTATCTGTGAGTATTCAATTTCAGGCAACCGTACAGCATCTCAATATTAGTGCAACCACAGCTAATTGTGCATCCACCCTTGCGTCTGGCTCCTCACTATTATGGAGAAGATGTTCAACACATGTTGCTCATCAAGAGCTGGAGCTGTTCTATCTCTATGTTGTTAGCATCTGGGCGAAACACATTAATTGGCAAGAACCAAGGGACACAAGTTGCTGCGCTACAACAGAACAGGATACAGTTTCGCTCTGTTCTGTTTGTTTGTCAAGTGTGTGTCATTTGCAGATAATTGCGGAGGATGTCTCAATTTGTTTGTCCATCTAAGTATCAGTGAGCAGTGACATGCCCAAGATTACAGCACACCGAAAGTCTGATTGCATCTCCCACAGCCATGTCTTCAGACAGACATCCAAGAAAGAACATGGATACTACAACATGAAGGTCTCCGGTAGCACATGGGACACAAATCTCGTCTCTGCCTCTGGGGTAATCACTTTCCCTCTTCGCGTCCATCCTTCACTGATATACCCCCAGCATTACATCAGCGTTAACTGGAATGCATTTGGGGGTGGCCCATTTACCATACTTCCCCTTCCCTCCACTTTTGCAGCTATCCCAAACTTTCCATACAAACTTCCTGAGGTCATTCCCCTCGCATGCAGTCACACAGCCCCCATCCTCGACACCGATTGGTCCCCACATAATGACTTCATCATTGCCTTGGGTGGTGAAGACAGCAAGGTCATGATCTGGAAGGTCGAGTCTTCCGCTTTTGAAGACTGGGGCCAGGATCATTGGGTACCGGTAAACTTTGACCCTGTCGCCCACATCAATGCATCACCACATAAGATTGGCCAAGTTCTCTTCCACCTCACCACATCCAACATCCTCATCAGTGCGTCCAGCGAATACACAGTCAAGCTTTGGGATTTTGCTGACACTGATCATACACGCTCTGTTCTCACCAGACACAAAGATACCATTCAGCATCTCGCTTTCAATCCTGCTGGCACACCCATGACAATGACCTGTAGAGATTCCATTTGTTTGATTTGAGCGGTGCTGACTGGCTTGATGGTTCTCACACAATCTGGCACATTTTTATTGACATTGCTATCAGTCAACACCATGCTCAGAGTGCCATCACAGCATTGAGTGTGATGCTGACTTTCTTAATTGGGCTGTCATCTGCGGATGGACAAGTATTGATCATATTCATTTCTTATCTACAGTAGTAGCGAAGAGCAAACAACATTTACTGATCTTTTGCCTCATTTGTGGTCAACAATGTTCAAATGTCATTATGATTTGATGTGCATGTGAACACAGCCACAATTACACCACTGAAGCAATCTGATACTATTATCCAAAGTTTCAGACAACCCTTCATAAAATAGCATCAGATCAAGCTAGCAAGGCAATGGAGCAAGCTTTAGGACTGTAAGCCAACCTCCCTTTACTACTTGCGCAATATACTTATATTGGAACCTTGCAGAGCGTTTCATTTTGGAATATCAATGCTGCGGACGTGTCATACTCAGATGGTGGCCGATTCTGGGTTTAAGATATGTTCAATTATGGCTGGAATCTATGAAGGAAATTTAGTTGTCTATATGTATGCAACTGTTTATGCTGGTTGGAATCTACAATAGTGGTTGACTGACTTCATTGTGTGTAGCATTGGCAATGAATGTAATGCCTTTGAAAAATGTACCATTAACTGACTCACCGGAGTGTTAATGGCATCTATGACTGGCACTACCTCAGGTAACTGGATCTGAAATCTCATTCAGTTAGATAGAAAATGTGACGTGTTTTTTCTGCTCCAGTAGCCTCCATGGTACCATCGGTTGGTTACTTCAGCAGTATTGAGGAGGACGACGGTGAAGATACTGGAGCAGACAGTGATGATGAAGATGGAGATGAGGAGATGGAGCTCCCCAATGCTACAGGCAAGATTGGACAAGATGTAGAGTTGATCTTGAATGGTACTCAGTTATTTTTGCACAGCAGCTTTGACAGTACTGATGGTTTGTAGATTTAGAAGCTCAAGATATTGACTTTGATATTGAGGACATCGTCACAGATATGCACAGTTTAGTCATTGGTGATGGAGCTGCTGGGGAAGACTCAGAGAGAGAGGACTTCACAGAACAGCTTGCTGATGTTTCATTAGGCGAAGACTCAGACGGCCAATCTCGACCAGTCCTATCTGCCCAGCCATCGGCAGAGACCTCTATGACTGAGATCCTTCCTTCTGGTCAGAAAGAGACATTTCATGTCACATCCACACAGCCAGTGGTAGCGAGTGCTACAGCTGAGATCCTTCCTTCTGGTCAGAAAGAGAAACCAATTCATGTCCCATCTACCCGGTCTACCAGGTCATCAACGGCAGTGGCTAAGGCTGAGATTCACCCTCCCAAGGCTAAACTACATACTCTGCCCCCCCACAACAACCTAAACACATTAAGAAACACATACCCTCCATCTGAGTCCCTCCACCTTCCAACTGGAGCAATCCAGATGATGAAGTGCAGAGGCTCCTCCAATTTGGTATTGACATTTCCCGGATACCAGGAAGGACAGCAAATCACTGAGTCTTCCCCCCTGAGGGGTAAGCCACTTATTAATGTCCTGCGCTTGCTTCTGCCAGCTGATATCTGTTTCTACTAGTGGGGTGGGAGTCGTTGAGAGCTTTGGGCCGCAGTTTGACCCACATGCAACTTCGGCTGCCAATAATTTGAACCACCACGAGGTTCTTCAAAAGATCGGATGCACTTACCTTGAGGACTATGACCTCATCGTCTGCCAGCATTTGCATGACGGAAAACATTGCGGATATGGAATACCACTCACTCAGCTGTCCAGCCATTGCTACACAATTGGCAATGTGCCAGCTGCTTGTGAGCAGCATGCCATGGCAGTTTTTCAACATTCTGGCACTAGCAAATTTAAACTGGCAATTCAGAATGTTTATGCCAATATATTAAGTGTCTTTCCCAATGTTATACTCACACAAGCCAAACTCTGTACAATTCAACCATTAGCCAATCAGCATGGGCCTATAAAACATATTAGGGACACAGTGGACAGTAAAAATACAAACTATGTGAATATGCCTGGCTCTATGACGGTACCACCACTCACTTCGGGCACCATTGGCCAACCTATGGCAATGCCACACTCCCTATTGCCCACGTTGCAGATCAATGTGTCAGCATCAAAATTCAAGCATTTGACTATGATCCTACCAGGCATCTTGATTTTCCTGTCAGAGAGGAGGATGGCAAGGCCAGCCAGAACCTTCAGAAGATGAGCGGGAAATCTATCTTAGCAACGCAACTTCAACGATTTATACCGATGGGCGTGCATACCTCAAAATCGTTCAAAAAGGCAGTGTTGCCGTTTTTCGAGCACATTGGTGCGCTGGACCATATCTCACCCTATCAAGCATCAGTGCTACATGACCTTGTAGCACTTCCTGCTAAAGGAGAAAAACACCTAAAAAAGCTCCAGAAGGCGGTTGTTTATCATATTGAGATACTGTGTGATGAAGTTGCATCAGCAAATTTAGTCAACTAGAAGCTGCTGGTTAAGCACCAAAGGTGAGTCCCACAATCCTATATTTTAATTGATGCTGATACCAAGCCATTCTACTACTATAGTAGGACAAAATCAATTCTAGAACTATTCAATGCCCCTATGCTTCAGCACACCCACATGGCTTACACTGGTGAAGAAGTGCGACTTATCTGCTTCATGATGAGATGCATATTTCAGAAAGCATACACTACCCTCCCTTTTGGACCCCAGCCTACTGGCGGGAAGCCTGTCTCACACAGTGATGGCCAGTACCATGTTTCCCTAACTGGCTCCCAGCTGAAGGCATTCGCCATTCTCCAAGATCAGCTTGTGTCATGGAAGACTGAAAATGCCAACCTTTTCAGCACTCTAAATGATGTGTTAGAAACACTGTATATGCTGTCGAACACCTTAGATATGTTTTAAGACCGGTACATCAACCCTGTGGCAGCATTTGTGTGCCTGCACACCATCCATCCCAAAGGGGGATTCATAAATCCAGAGCACATAACATACACCACAGTCCACACGTAGTTCAATATCAGGCTCTTCATCCTCAACTTTTTATTAAGGCAGTTTGTCGCCTATACCATGGCAATCACTTCCAAGTCTGACCGTACCATTGAGTCCAATCAGCCTGAGGGGTGCTACTCAGGTATTTTAAGGCGGGGGTTGGACAGTCCAGGAAAAGAATTCAAAGAGTATATTCTTCTTTCTCACAAGTAAAATGGAACTAACATAACCTACCAGATATTGTGACAAGATTATTGATGAATGAGGAACTGAAATGAAGAACACTCCTTTTGGCTTTGTGTGCAAGTGGGTCAAATCTTTGAGCTGGATTGTCCGCAAAACTCCAACCAAAGGGATCGTCACATGGTTTGAATGGGACAGTATTCAATCAACCAGGCTTCTTAACTACACAGTTGATATTGACCAGTACCGCTCTGTGATCCAGTCAACCCTTAGAGACTGTCTTGCCCACATCCATTCCAAGGTTCTGTTCAACATCTCCCTCCCCGACTCCAGCTTGCAGCTACCTGATGATAAGCATGATGAGCTCACATGGGGCTATGGACTTTTTCATTGTCCCTTGACTCCAATGATTTGGGGGATTCAGGTGCAGGGCTGCATCTTCATTACTATTGCATTCACTTCTGGATCTTGGTACTCTATGTCATTTGAACAAGACTAGCCAAACCATCAGCTGGGATACCGTGCTATTGAACCAATGGCTGGCTGATGTGTGCCTGGCGTGGGAGTATGTGTATATCCTCATGCACCTCTTAGCTCTTCCAGCAAGAGGCACTGAAGAAGAACTGTGGCAACATGCTAATGGACCAGAGTCAGCAAGGCATCTTTTTGTTTCACATTCACTTCGGACACTGGTAATAAAAAGTAATTATAACAAGACATCCTCTGCCACTGGGATCTACAAGACAATCATCTGTGTTATTCCTTACAAGGTAGCTCAAGCTGTAACAATTCTACTGGAGAGTGTATGACTCATTGAACTGGTGGCTACCCTACAATTCCAATGCAGTTCACCAGGTTGTGCATGGGAAATCACAGAACTCTATTAAACACGCCTCTTCACAGCCATGGGATTCTGGACAGATGTCTCTTATGTCGTGATCTTGGTTCATGAAGTACTTGAAGGTCCCCTTCAGCATGTGGCCACACCATCAGTTCACTAAAGCACTGCAGAGGAAGTTTCTATCCTACTAGTTGAAGGGCTCTGATTCACTCGCAGAGGCTGCCAATCTGGCTATGGGACATATGGAGCATGTGGCAGAGTTCCATTATTGCAGAGAGACTCAGAATATGATGGTCCCTTTGTTACTACAGCAGAAATGTGAGGAGGTGGATTAGATTGAGTGGCACGGTATTCCTGCAACTAAAATTAGCGCTGAAAAGAAGTAGCACATTTGCCATTGCAAGTACTACCTGTGCTTTGACTTGACTCTTAAAACACTATATATTGCCCACAGCGCTGTCCCTACAAATCTAGTCAAAACCTCATAGGAACTTTGGATCAAGTCTCAGACTAGTACATAACACAATTGTTTACAAAGCTCTTTGATCTCTCAAGCTTCCAAGTCACTCATTGCTCTTCAGCATGTGCTGTCATTTTGCATGTCACTTGCCCATACTCAGCACCATAGTTTGGAACTGTCTATTTCAAATTTAGAGCTACTTAAAATCCTAGGACTAGGACAAGTGTTTGAGGCATTCAACATGGTGTGGGTGTTTTGAGTAATGGATGAGCTCCCTCTGACCAAGATTCTTGTGCATAGGCTAAACAGTTGGCACACTTCAGCATACCACTCGATGAACTTTCTGTTTCAGGTAACACCAGCACGGATATGGCAGAAGAGTTCAAATGGTTGAGTTTTCACCTTTGTAATGCAGAAGCTGAATTTGTTCGAAGGCCTGCTCATAGGAAACAGGAAATGTACTCTAAACAAGAAACCAAACTGAATTACACATGTTCAATCAGCCGTAAGTCACCCTACAGAAGTTTAGCACTTACATCTTCTGGTGTCAGTTGTCCCATTACCTAGGTCATAGTCAGCTCTCATATCCGTATCAGCCACCAACTACAAGTACTCATGGAATCATCGGTAGATAGTGTGGCATCCACCATCGCTGATTTCCTCTTCTGCAATTGTATGATACAGCTTTCGATGCTGTCTTTGATGACAAGTTTGATGGCCTGAACAGAACAGTATTGTCTTAGATGGTGAATGCAGTCCATAGCTTCTGCAGTGGAAATCAGCAAGCGTCACAGGTACATTAAATCAATTCATGTATGATATTCAACCTAGAATACCAGGAGTCAGCTGAGGATGAGAAATATCAGTACAGAAAACTTGCCACAGGATTCCACCAACTGTCCATAAGATACACTTGAGGTGCTTCAGTCAAGCTCAATGCCACTCCACTAGCTTTCAAGCTAACAAGAAATACAGTAATGCCAGCATTGTTCACTAAGGAAGCATGTTAGCAAAACACAACTGATAGATGATCATCCGACTACTAGAGTGCTGAATGGTGTTAAGGTCGTACTCTCAGAGGATCGGATCTGAAGGACTTCAGCCTCAGCTTGTACACTGTGCCCCTTTCCCAAGTACTGTCCCTTATTTCAGAGACTAACGATAACATGTCCGGAGGGTCGGACGAGTCTCGTAGTATTATCCAGACGACTTCCGGATATCAGAAATGTGTGTAAGGCTAATCCAGACAATTCCGAACTAGAAACAAACAGAGGATAGACTATCCGAAGATAGAGCCGGAGATATAGACTAAAGGAATCAATCCTAAGTCTCAGAGATTTGACGAGAGTTATTTAGACTCAAGTCCAGAGGACAGAAAGAGGACAAACTAAGTTGATATTCGAACTGAGGTACTACAACACATATACAAGGGTTTATATACTAAGGGAATAATGGAAAGATCAGTAAGCAAGAGTCCGAGGCTATGTACGAAGCATAAGCAAAGTTTATCAAGCGTGAGTCGGAAATGAAGCATAGGTTAATGGATCAGTAAGCATAACAGTAGTAAGTATAACTGAGACACTGGGAACAAGAAATAAGGAATAGGCTGTGTTTAACACCATATGAACAGGAAATGAATTAAGAAGCTTATCGTATATCGGATCGGAAGTGGATCTATACATTGGATCAGATCGGATCTAAGGTCCGAGGTCTGGAAGAGAAGCGTGGATATATGGGATATGACAAATGGTCACATTGCAAGCCTGAGGGCTCATAGTTCCCTCAAGTCAACAAATCTATCAGCGCACTGAAAGGTTTGAGGCACCTTTTGTAGCCTAAAGGCGATCAAATCCAAAAAGTTGACAAATTGACTGAACACAATACTTTTAGCTGTGTTGTCTTGCAAGCAAAGATTAGAAAGTTCCTCAACAAATGCCTCAATCTCTAGGTTGGACACTATTTGGGATGCGGGAAGGGATTGCAATTTTGAAAGTGAGTTGAGAAATGCATCACGAGGAGATGATCTCATGAGCAACACATGTGGCAAAGTGTGATGTTAACTGTGGTAACTAAGAGACAAAGAGACGCTCAACAAATAGTCCTGGACTGTCGGTCAAACATATATAAAGTAAGATGATCCTAAGAGCAACATGTTGTGAACCAGAACATTGGCATTGAGTGCACAAGCAGAACAAGACACAGGAAGCAGGCTAGCACAAGATGGAGAAATGTAAGAGGTATCAGCCTCCCGGCAAATTCTGGTTATCACCATCTTTACTACCTAGATGATGGCATCCGATCACAAGCTAGTGGTTGTCCTTTATGCAGAGGCAAAGTTACAGAAATCTATCAGCTTACTGGCCAGTTTTACTATTTCAAAAGGTAAGCAGGCAGGGATGGAGGCAATCAAGGAACACTTCCTGGTGTGCTGCTTGTCACCCTAGACCCCGATTGTACCAATTTTTACCCAGGTATGTCACCGATACACTTATTAGCCACATATTCATGGTGAATACATATTCTAACACTTGGTCAGTTCCAAGAGATGATACTACCACCATACGCACAGAGAGTTCAGGTATACCCCCCTCCCGAAAGCACACAATCGAAATGAAACCTACCAATCAGTTGCCATAGCAGTGGCATAGCAGTAGCAGTCAGAGTCGCAGCGACACTTGGGCCAGTACCCGAACTTTCTTATGGTGATTCAGTTATGGTGATTCAGGAAACAACAGTCTTGGAAACATCCAAAGAAGCAAAGCTGGGGTCCCCAGGTCCAGACCCCATATGGCAATTTCCAACCTCCTGATTTTCAATAGCTCGCTGGCTCAGCGCTCAGCGCTCTGCTTAGAGTTGCAAACCAAAGATTAAGTTTTGACTTAATAGCATATAAGTACCCAGCTATAGGCCAGACTCATCTACGAGAAATTTTCAATATGGCTACTACCCCCACATTCACACAGAGTCCTGGTTCGTAGTGTTCATTTATCCAAACTATGCTGCGCTAGCAACCGCCTATAACCCACATATCAGCATTCCCAGATCTCTGGGTGGCCAAGACTCTATTGAATGGACTTGTTTATGGGACATGCCGATTTCGGACACCACCAGTGAGTACTAATAAAGCATGAGTCTTGAATTTGGTGTTGACCACCTTCAAAGGCCAATCCAGAGCTTGACATACCGCCCCATGCCTACCCTAACACTCACCTTTTGCTCCCTCCAGCTCATGGTGGTATCATCAAATTGTCCTACCAAGATAAGGACTTCCACCCACAATCATACTCCTCAGGCGGTGGCTCACCACAACTCTCTGTAATACAAACTCTGGAGAGCACTCCATTCACTATGATCTCTGTGCACCTCGACACCCTCTGGACTTGTCAAGTTGCCAACAATGATGACCCCATGTGAAAATCGTGCTGCCCGCATGTCTCCTTCCCAAGCTGTGGCCCAAACTTTGTTTGTGGTTGCCTTACTGGGAGGAGGAGACATAGGTAAGCTCATAACTTTTTTTCAATGCACTCTTTGACCTCAACTATCTATCATCCTAATCTACAGTACTCTGCAATGTCCCCACGCAAAAATCTCGCCACCCGCATCTTTGGTTCTCGACTTATGGGCTGACCTTTGTTAGTTGTTGGCAAACTGGGAGGAGGGTCCTATCTTTTTTTCACATTTTTTTCTCATGCTCATACGTTCACATCTCAGCTTAGGTACTCTAACACACTCCCTGCACCACTCATCTATCTCACCAAGGCAGATGGGGTGATTCGAGCACAGGCGGGAACCAGAGTGCTTTTGCATGTCAGATGACAAAGTATTGGGCAATGGGTAATCATCAGACTTTTTCTTCTTGAGTCCATGTTTGCTAAACAGACCATCTTAGGTGCATCCAGATAACCTCGTACCACTGAAACAGTCATTTTGTGATATCTACCCGTACTTGGTTAGCAAAAATGCATTTCACTTCTACTTGTCAATTGATCTTCCCTTAGTGTTCAACATTCAATGCCGAGAATGAATTCGAACAGAAGGATGCTGGTGCATTTTTGATTATGGAACAAGAGAAGATGTCATGTTGACGCTTGTTGCAGCCATTTACTTTGACAATGAAGATCTTGAAGTGCACCTTGGTCAACTAGAAAAGACAGAGGTTGCTGAGGCTATCCATCTCCGGTGGTATGGCAACATGGATGTGAAAATCGTCAGTTTGCTTGACTTGGTTTGTGAAGACCGTGCTCACTGTCCTTCAGATTTTTGTAGAGCACAAGACGCTCAGAAAAGACTGGACAGGTGACAAGTCCATCAAGGCACGTTTTCCGATCAAAGAACACCTCGTGAATGCTTTCCTGTGTGGAGAATACACCATGGACACGGAGCTCCAGGCTCTAGTTGACAAATGCAAGAAGACTCAAGCCAAAGTCAATTCCATGATCAGCTCACAAGCGAAGTTCAGTATCGGATTCTTATGAAGCAGCTTCAGCCAGTGTAGAGATACAACAATTGCTGGGCACTACACGAAGTAAGTAGCCAGCAATATAAAATGTGTTGTGGTCGTGCACAGCCTAGTCTGCTATACTTGCAAGACAAGTGCGTTCGACCCGAGGGGTTAGCTATTGGATTGGCCTGTAGTTAGTGAAATGATAAAACAGTCAAAAGTCCGAGCGCGGGAAACAAAGTCCGAAGGTATATCTATGATGTCCGACGCCAAAGTGTCGGGTCCGATGTTTTCAGGTTTCAGGTTAGCGGGTTTCGGGTGCGGGTTTAGCGGGTTAGCGGGAATGGCGATAGCGAACATCGGGAAAGCGAGCGGTATGCGGATATATGATAACGACGGGTATTTTGGATAGAAAGAGCGGTAATATTCACAATGTCAATTAAGAACTACGAAATATCGGGTTTGACCACTAAGTATCGGGGAATGGCTCCCTACTACTTGGATGATGAAAATACTCGTAGTCAGTCCAATATATATATAAGTACGTAGAAATCCGGAACCCTATAGGCGAAAGTAGCGGCCGACGATTTCAGGTCCGAAGTACATGTAAACTAACATGAGGCGCTGCGGATGATGGGAAAACATGTAATAGCGCTTGCTACGACATGAGTAATGTGTGAAATAATCAACTACACACCTAGTGGGGCTAGCAGGACGGGATGGGACACGGTGTAGGGATTCATTTCTGGCTGGGCTTGCAGAGACTATTTTTACCTTAGTGTTATGTTTGCACTTTTGTAGCTTACATAATCAAGTTACCTTTTCACCAGTTCTACTATGAGTCTGAGTATTCAGCAAGTTTCTATCATATTTCCTCTTCTCTGAGCCTTGAGCCTGGTCCAGAAACCCTTTAGGGTCGAATAGCAGCTAGGTTCTGCAAGACCCAACATTGTTCAGACTCACCATCTGAATTGTTGTACCTTCAACGTTGAAGGTGAGGAATCTTGACTATAGGTGAAACGCTAAAGCTAACGGGGGTTCTACAGTAAGACCAGGATACGAGAATACGACTCGACCCAAAGGACAGCTACTGAGAGAAGTTCCTCTTTAATGTAATGGAGGGAGTCTTCGCCAACTAGACGGGTGGTAACAGGCGCGCGAAGGCGCGAGTAAGCAAATGCAAAGGCGTGCGAAGGGCGCGCGCGAGCGAAAGATGCGAGGGGCGCGCGCGTATATGGAAGCGTGCTTTTGAGCGATGGGGGAGAGTGTTCAAGTATAACAGATGCGCGAGCGATGGTAGAATAGTGAAGTATAATCGGATTTCAAGTACTAAGGTGCACTTATACAATTTGCAGTATACTCAGATAAGGGAGAAGGGAAGGAAGTAAGTTAAAAGGAACTTTCCCTCTATTTAAGAAGGGAGATTACGCTATGCGGCGCGCTTCCGAGCGTGGTACCGAACCGAGTAACCATATCAACTCTAAATATATTCTAAAGCCTATGATAGACTTTCTGTATGTAAGCGCGGAGATCGGACCGAAGGTACGTCAATTCAGTGAAAGGGATAAGAATAACGCACCAGTAAATCAGCGAGGACATAGGACGGACGGACGGACAAGGGTACGAAGGCCTAAGGGGAGGCGCACGAGCGCGCGCGAAAGGCGCGAGTGCGTGTAAGGCGCACGAACGAGGCGCGTACGTAGGGCGCGCGCGCGAGAGCGCGTATGACTGATCCTTTGGATAAGAGCTGGAACGTGTAGGGAATTATGTGGGTAATAGGGCCGTATATTCCGCATTGAGAGGCGCGAGTCTCTACAATGGATAGGGCAAGTGCGCAGGAAAATATTGGGTCCGATGCGGCCGAAATGTCAGGTCTGCTAGTCAAAGTGTCGGGTTTGCGTCGGGTTGTGCGGATTACATCGGATAGTGACGGGCATTGAATGTATATCGGGAAATCAGTGAATACGAGCATAGCGCAAGCTCGAGTGCTACACCGGGTATGTGGGCACGCCAAACGACTGACTTATTGGCTCACAAATATACTGGTCATGCGGGTGTTTTACAAACATACTGCATTCCAGTTCCTGGGAGATCCACATGTACAGATATCGCTTGATATGGAACTTACCATGGTTCGTGAAGATAACTGAGATGGACAGAGGCATTCTGGTGATAACTGGCAGTGAACTGATATTGGCATTGTCCATCCCTTTAACCAAACACTAGTACATCTCCAGATATGTCGATTATCCAGAACTTATGGCCATGCTTGTCTCCTATGTCAGCCATGAAAGTTTATGACTAAAGCATCTCGACAACAGTGCCATGATGCAACTGCAGCATGTCAGAGATGGGGGTGAAGGTGTGCAGATTTTGAGATGGGGAGAGGTTGAAAATGCCATGCGAAGATGACACACTAAAATGTGAACATTTGTCTCCCAAATAGCTCATGTATTTTTGCACTTATTGTATTTAGATTTTCATAAGCTAATGTGCAGAGCTACACTCACTGCTTTGAATCTATCCATCCACACCCATTCCTCATCAGGAAAATGTAATACATTACAGAGTGCTGTAGAGCGCTTAAATCTGCAATCTTGTTGATGGTGGAGTTGAATGTGTTCAAGGGTTCAACTTGAAGCATAGGAGTCAGTAACAAGGCTTCTAGTAGCTTGGTCATGGTACTAGTATGCTGATACAGAAACTACAAAACTCTAACTGATCTAAAATAGAGCTTAAATTGACCATGACACAGAATATTGCTATCTGAGAAGCAGGTTAGTATAATCCTGTGCCCCTTGGTGACTGGGGTTGTACAATGAACCAGTGTGTGTGCCATGAAACCAAACACATCCCCTGGGTGGATAGGGATGCGCCACTCCAGGCCCTCCCATGGAAGCACGAGATAACCACCCTCCCAGTCTCCTAAGGCTATCAACCAAGTAATGGAGTTGATATCATTACTCCAGTCAATATGGGTAATCTCACTCATACCCTCCTTAATAGCAAATGCAAAAAAAAGCTCCAAGAAAGTCCAAAGCTGGCCTTTTGATGAGCTCATCCTTGAGGAGCATAAAATTCTTGATGGATTGATATGCCCTACAGCATAAACATCAGTACTGCTGGGTAGTTCTATAAGCAATACACACCTGCACTGATGCTCCAGTTGTTTGGGAGCGTATCTGCCAAGAATAGCAGTTATCTTGGGCATCATGTGGTTCTGAACTGTGGTCAGCAGCTTGTCAATGGCCTTCAGTGCCTCAAGTGCCTTAGGAGTTTGCATTCTGGTTGCACAAGTGACCATAGATTGGGGCTGCTGCACCTACCATAAACCAAAATGGTAGGCAGGCATGGATGACCGGTTGGTCTCACTGGGGCTGGTATAATGCTTAAATGCACACTGGGCCTCCTCATGTTCTTCAGGGGGGGTGATGGAAAAGGAGTTGGGGGGATCAAAAATCAGGAGCTGGGATGTAGTGAAACCATGGGGGTATTGCTCTTGCATGGCACTGCTCGACGTGTTTCTTGTCCTTTGTGGTGCAGACAAAAGTACTAGGGTAGACACTGATTTGTTCCACTTCTACATAACCAATGATGTAGCCTCTGGGAGTCACTGAGGCCCTTTGAATAATGAAACTCGCGGTGTAAAGAGTCAATCCATTCAAGTCTTTCCTCTCTCATCCCACTACCCAGATAAGTTTGCAACTTTTCAAACTGCTTGTTGACACCATGGTGTCCTCTTCGGGTTTTTGGACCATTAGGAGAGGATACTGGAAGGGCTATTGCCTTTTTCTTATTCTTTGTATAGGCCATGAGTTTGAGGTAAATGTTTTGGGTGATGTGGTGTTGACTAGGTAAGCCTGATCTCTGGGTCATGGCAAAGGGTTTGGCCACTGCTGAGACCATTTTACCCATGACAAAGCTACTGGAGCATCTGAACAGTTCCAATGTTCAATGTTCAATGTTCAACACTCAATGTTCAGAGGTAACATTAACTTTTCTTCTGACTACTGGATATCAGGAGATGAAGATTTGGCAGCCATCGTGTGGCCAATGTTCAATTCACACAGCCTCTCTTCTAGGGTGATCATAATTTGGCGTTGAAGATTGGGATCCGTGCAAATGCTCCCCTTGTAATTTCGCCCACAGTTATGATTGGATTGTAGTGGCCTCAGTTACTTTTCAACTACTGTGAATGGAAAACTGCAAGTCGCGGAATCAGAATCGTAGAGGTATGATCAGTGTTGTTACTGCATCCCTTCACACTGATGGTCTTTATAGGTGAATTGACAATCTTGACAAGGACTTGGTGCGAATGGATGTAGCTCTTATGACCTGACACTCATCTCCCATTTAGCTGCATAAATTTGCTAATGCTGCTCGCCAACTTGGTAGTTCCATTCGGGTGTTTTCCTTCGCATTTTGACCATGGGAGCACCTTACAAAATTATTGCTTCTATTTCAGGAGAACAGCATCTATGTTGTTTCCTCAGAAAATTTCATGTCAACCTCAAGAAACACTCGTTAACCCTAACTTGATGGACCAATGATGCACATAGAGGGGTCACCAACCTCTGCTCAGGCCTATCCATGATGACAGTCTTGATCCCGAAGATTTCCCTGGTCAATTCGCTAGTTTTGCAGAAGACATCTCAACTGCCTGAATGACGTGCGGTGCAGCGATTGGGAATCTGGAGTGAGTTAGTAAGGTCATGAACTCCTATGCCAAAGTATGACCATTTATTGTTTCTGGCCGCTGGTCTATGTTTACAAATGTCGTTCAGACTGTTAAGAACCCTTGCCCCTCTCCCTGGGTAATGATGAGCCCAAAAAACTTTCTATTGCTCACAAGTTCAATATGCTACTTGCACTCTGTCTTGCTCAGTTCATGGAGCCTTCAGTACCACATCTCTCCTATCTGTGATCCCTACGCTCGAGACACCTATGGGTGTGAGCGAAGCTCAATCCACTTGGGTGATCAGTGCATTCTGATTAACTTTTTCATCATTTCTGCTTATTGTGCATGCCAAGCACCCACCCATTGACCCTGACTTGCGCTTTAACATGTTGTTTTAGAGTGGCTATCTCAGTAATGTCTACAACCCAAGTTAGTGCTATGCTGCTTGTGCTAGACGTTATGCTGAATGGCATGCAGAAACTGTTCATTTGAGGGGCGTTCAGTCTCAGTTTCCCTTTGCTATGTGCTGGATTTGTTCACCATACAATTCTGATTCTTGTGCTTGGGGCAACGACTGGAATCAATTACTCCTCAGCTGCTGCAATGACCATCCCCTCTGTGTTACAAACTTCTGGTCAAGGTGTTTCCTATCTGCTTACTTCCTGACGATCAGTAGTGCAACAATGGGATATAACACAACTATAATTTTGCTGTTCTGCGCTCCTCCATGGATGTTATCTACCATTGGTTCTTTTGCCCTTTTAAGGTAGGTAAACCAGTTTTATTGGAAAGTCATGTCTCACTCACGAACAGGTGCTCTGATAAGAAGCAAAAGCATTGTATATACATTGCTGCATCTAATGCAGTTACAGTCTCTGTACTCGTCATCTATCTGCATGATAAACATGGCTGCACACCATCTTTCACTGTAAATGGTGTCATGCACTTATGGTGTGCTGTCTCTTGTACTCAAAGACGTATAGGTTCCTGATGGCTCAAGTCGATGTTAGGTATATGGTGGTCTGGGGCTGGGTCAATAGCACTTTTGCAGGAGAACACCTGAAGCAAGCTGTCTCTGTTGCATTAGGTTATGCACTAGCAAGCAGGAAATATTTCTGGATCATCAGTAACACTTGATACTGTCTCTCGCTCATCATCCACATTTACTTATATCTTGTAGGTACGTCTGGCAGACTCAATAGGGCCCAACATATCAGTATTCCTATGCCGTCTGCATCGCAGCAATTGGAGTTTCAATGGGCATGCATCTGAAACATTTGAACGAACAGATCATGAGGAAGGAGTGGGATGGGAGGGATAATGAGAGCATTGAGGGCCCATAACTGGTTTTAGACATCTAGTGTAGTAGGATTCACACCTGTTTCCCATGTTTCCTTTTCTTTCTGTTTGTTGAGCTTTCACGTCCCGTCTTGTACTACTATGTCATAGTTTTGTAATGAATTTGATCAAATCATTTGGAGTTAAGCCCATAAAGATTTGAACATATGTAGCCCAGAGGCCATTTTCTTGCCAATCATACTCCAGTCCTGTACTGCACGTCAGCACCGCACCATGGACTAGGACAGGAAGAAAGCATCATGGCATGATCAAGTCACCTTCCAATCATCCCCCAACTCATCCAGCACCAGCAACCCTCATCCAGTCACTGTGTAATGCACCTTCTGCATGCTTCACTGCCCATAGATGTACAAAGATCCGCTTGTACTTTTCTAGAGACCTGGGGTCAGGAGGGGCATTGAGGGGCGTGTCGACCCTGCACTTGAACGTGAAAACACCAAGAACTTTTGGTGGGTCAATTTGAGCGCTTGAAGTACAGATCACAGTCTCGAGTGTTGCTGTGACACTGTGTCGGTCCTCTTGCTTGTGTTTGGGAAACTATAGTAACTGCAACCCGATAGTCTCGGATGAGTTCCTGTACGAGAGTGCCCTCAAACATTAAAGCTGTTCATGTTGATGCTGGCACTCATGGTACTCCTACATTGTGTAATAGCCTAATATAAGCCTACTCAAGGGTAAGCGGCAGGAGCATATCCAGAATGCAGGGTACTAAGTCCATGCCTAGAACAGAAGGTAAAGACGGCAGTGATGAAACCATGGTGGTAAGGCCTCACAGAGGATTACTTAGTCGCCTGTTGACCAAAGAAAATGGCAACATGTTCTCCTTGAGCCATGTCTTGAATACAGCCTCATCGACCACAAGGACTTTAACCTTTGTGCCCGGCCTCTTGCTGGTCTAGCGCACCATCCTAGTTGTCTTCATACAACGGTGAGGGATGCACATTGAAGTCCTCGTCTTCAACCCTCAACTTAAAGCCAGACTTTTATATCATTTCCATTTGACTTTGATGGAAAAGTATGTGTCTGCCGATGTAGAAGGACCCGCACTCTGCCTCACACTCAGTGACTGCCTCAACTAATTTCGTGCATGCGTCTTTGTGAGACCTGTAATAGCCAACAAGTGCAGCACTGTGGTCAGTGGGGTGATGACGATGAGACCTAGGACATCTTGATGAGGCAGGTTATGCTTTGGTGGTGGGGCGCTGGGTAGGGGTTCTGGCAGTTGAAGAAGAGAGATTAGGTTCTGTAGGAAGATCGTGAGGGTTGATAGAGAAGTGAAATTGTTGGTGGTGGGGATGGGGAGGGATGACACCTTTGAAGAAGGGGACCATGTTTCCAAGTGGGCGGACCCATTTCTCAGAGGTGAGCCTGTGGAGGTTGGGTTGAGAGGGAGAACGAGGAGTGTGAATGTGTTCACAATACTCTCAAAGTCGAGGAAGGAGAGGTTGTCGTTTGATTCCACTACTGCACTGAGGGCGTGCCCTACTTCCCAGAGTAGCCATTCAGGATCCCCATCTTTCTCGTTGGTCCTAAGCTTAAGCCGAAGGTGTTCATACTGCCTACACTTGGCTCTTGCATCTGCATCCCATACCAGTGCAGCAATAACCAAAAGCCTCAGTTCAATTCCTAGGATCTCCAGGTTCTCAGCCAACTGCCCAGCAATCGTCCTAAAATGTTTGGAGTAGAGGCCAGCTTCACCCACTCCAATTGGTATAATGTGGCTATACACCAGTCACTATCTTCACTTTCCAAAGGCCCTGCCACAAACTCCAGTGCTACACCCACCACCCACCATGTGGCAATGCCTCTGACAAGCCTCTGCAAGTACTCTGGCTGGGCGACACATGATCTGTGGTATACCCCTCACTCCCACTGCTCTCACCCTTACTCGCACATTTACTGGAAGAAGTACTGCATTCTCGACTGGCTCTCTCTCGATGAGAATAGTGTTCGAGGTAACTCATCGTGCTCAGTGAAATATGCAGGTTCAACTTGCCACTAGTGAACTCAAGCTCAAGCCAAAGCCTGGACTAGGCTTGGCAGAATGAGCATGTCACAGCACAAGCAAATTCCTCATCTAGGGCTGCTGTCATATCCCACGTTCTGAACCCGGACCAATCACGCAATCATCTCCAGACTTCCGGACTTCCAGATCCAGTCAGCTCCTATCTTCTGTGCCTTTTCCCTTTAATATTTCCCTTATCAGTTAGCATGCTTTATTTTCTGTCCCTGATTTATTTTTGTCTTCATTTTACTAAGTTCTGATAGACTAGTGATAGTCATCCCACATGCTCTGCCATAGCCTCCCATAGCCTCGCACTGCACTAACTGTTTCTCCATTATGTCCTCAGTAGTATATAAACCCTGTACAATCCTTGTAGTTCCTCAGTTCAAATATTATCTTAGACTCTGCTCATTCCCTCCTCCGTCTGACTTGAGTTTCTCCTCTCATCGTCCTCCATTAAAGTCTTAGGATTGACTCCTATAGACTGCTCACCTCTGCCTCTACCTCTGGTAGTCCTCTGCTGTTTCCTTTCTAGTTCGGACATTGTCCGGATTAGTCTTATCACTCATTCCTGAACGTCCGCCAGAATTCCTGCGCATCGGACATCATCCAACAACCTTCGGACATCGTCCAGCAGCCCTCAGAAGTTAGGGGCACATACTCGGGTAAGGGGCGCAGCGCACAAGCTGAAGCCAAGCCCTTCGGATCTGAACCATTGAGCACGTTCTTAACAGGCTGGCTGCATATCATCTGGTATGTTTAGAAGTCAAGTAATTACATTATGAAGCCATCTTCAATATCAACTTGTCATACCCCATTTTCCCTCAAAACTCTTTATGCCCTCAGCTGCAAACTCAGCCCACATGGAAGCCTGCTTTTCAGCATATGCCCTATGCCCATTCTTGATGCTTTCATCTGCCCTTGCTCTCCACTCCTGACTCCTGGTTCTGAAACCACTGTACTGTCCAACACATTTCATGCTGTACTAACTTCAACTCTTCACTCCAACGGTCATATCGTGCTTTTGCTTTCAACCAATTCACTCGATAAACTAGGCATGGGGAACATAAGCTCAGTACCTTAATAAAAATCAGATAATATTAAAACTCACATTTATTCATCCACTCACTCTTCTGGCTGTCCTCTGCACTGTTGATTCTCCAAAACCAAGCCAGTCTATCAGAACCCTGACCATGCCTATTTTCCTCAGTGACTTCTTTGCTTACTATAAGGTCCTCAGCCTTTAGGGCTTGATAAGATGACATTGTATCAGAGTTAGCCACCAATCGTTGCATTTGCTGCCCTTGAACGACAATATTCTCGAGCATGTTTGTTGATAGCCAAGGTGATTTTTTGAAGTTCCTTGGTTGATCTAGTACCCTGATGATGAATTGATTTGTTGGAGTGTAATTTCTCTGGAAACACCATAGATCTGTCACCGAGGGCTTGATAAAGCTTTTCCAGGGAGTCATTTGCTTAACCCTTTTGAAGCTCCAGTTCTTCTTGACGTAATTGAATGACAACATCATTCATAATCGGATCAGATGTTCCCCATGATGGCATCCAAAGTTCAGCAACCTCTGCAGGTGAGTCAGCATCATCTCCGAGGTCCAAAATACTCTCTTCCCCCAGCTCTTCAATTCCTGGAAAATTAGATCCATCAGCCTCCCCCAGGCACAGTTCAGGGTCATCCTGGTGCAATCCCTCTTCCCCCTCGAATTCCATACCATTTGTCATAACCAACGCAGTCTTGTGGAACTTATTAATACAAGACAAGAGCTTCTGTCTTTTTTCTTCCATGAGAGTTCTCTGAGAAGCAGTTGGATCCTCTGGCAGTTGTCTTATAAAAGAACGTAGGGCATCTCTAATAACCCAATTTGAGTCAATCACATTCCAAATATTGAACACCTTACTGAGCATTTTCTATGTTGATACCCTCGATCAACTATGCAATAGCCCCAGTCCTACCATTGGTGGACACTTTCGTTTTCAGTCAACCTTAGCCTTATTTCAGCCATAGTTGGAGCTTTTGATGATTCATAATCAGGTCTAATCACAGTTGAATTTTACCTGAACCTACCTTTATCTATTTTAAGCTGATAGATGTCAAGAAGCTCACCGCGATCAAGAGCTGCTAGTTCAGCTTCCTTCTTCCATTTCTGGACATTGGCCTGATTAAGAGACTTCGTCAATTCTTCGTATGGACCCTGAGTGTCTTTAACACCCTGTACGGCTTGATTATACTTTTTAAGTAATAATTTGACTTTTGAAGTGTTCCATTAGTCGAAGTTGACATCTCAGAAGTCAAGAGAGGGGACTTGCCAATTCTGACAAGCTTCTTCCAATTAGAATCCCTCATATGGTCATCCAAGACTTCCTGTCTGTGAGAGAGAGTCATGGATCTTGCGGTTGGGGAAATCTTGTTAAATGGGGCCCAGAGGGTCTCCAAGATTTCCCCATCAATATGACCAGCTCCTTTAATAAAATCGAGGCTGAATCTGGGAAAGCACAGTAGCTTATGAGCGCTTAGATGAAACTTGCCGATTGCTGGCAATATTTTGATTGATGGAGGAAGAGACAGGTGATAGCTTTGATTCACCCGTTCATCAAAGTGGATACTCCACTGGCATGCAACATCATAGATTATGAGTGCACTGTCAATATCTTCTGATGGATATTTCAATGCGTTGCAGATGGAATAGTCCATGTTCATTTGTCTGACTACGTAGTCAGCCTGAGGTCATAATACAACAATGCATCCACATACCTCTCTCCCTTTTGGAAGTCAACCACTGCAAGGGGAACAAAACATCCATGCCTAGCACATGCTGTTGCCCCAACTCCCGTAGCTCTTAGGTTGCTTCTCTGGACATTCACAGCATTCACAGCATGGTGATTGCTGCAAGATGATTTCTGAAATTATATTAGACATCATTTCCAAGGAAACATGTGATGAAATATGACAACTCGCCTCTTTCTCTTCCACAGATTCTATTATGTGACTTTAATAAGGTTCTTCTGTCACCATATATCCCTTTCCGTCTGCTAGTGAAACATCATCTTCTGGGGTCTTCATCTTCATATGTTGAGCTGTAAAATTTCCATCGATAACATATCTTTGCATGACCAACCAACTGCCACCCACAAAAATCAGCTCAGTTGGCAGTTGTTGATGAACTAACTTACCTGTCGTAGGTATCCTTCCAAAAAGAAGGTAAGTTTATTCCAGGCTGGGGACATGCTGGACAATAAAGAGCTAAATCCCCTGGACCAGGAGATCTGTCCAACTCATGTGCAAAGCTGAACCTTATTCTATTGACCAAATCCCTCCATATACAAGACACCCGCATAAGTTCACGGTAGCGATCCTTTTTATCATGTAAGCCTGGGGTACAGTAATAAAGAAATTGCTCACAGGTATTTTATGAGGGAAAGCATTATTGGTAAAACGACGTAGCTTTTGATAGAAGCTCATAGCTGAGGTCTTGCACTCCAAAGCGTCTATGAGGAAGTTATCTAGAACATCGAAGGTAAAAGCCGATTGAGGCCGAGTGATGCTGGCAGGAAATAACTTTGCTTTTAGGAGATGTAGATGTCCGTCCTTATCAGCACCAGGACACTGACACCAGGATACACGGTGTGAATAAACTCCAGTGGAATGCACAATGACCAGGTTGGACAATCCTAACTGAGTGTCATAAATAGTATCCCCCTCTCCATGTCCAAACACATCTTCCATTGCTCTGAGATCCGACTAGGGTGAGGGGTTGGACTGCTGCAACAAATTGGGGCAAGGATGTCCACCATGGCCAAGATGTATGATATATCTGTGGTCTCATAGAGTAGTAGACTGGTAGAACTTGCCATTCCAAAGTTGAAGGTTGTGGAAGGGATGGTGCTGGTGGGCTTTGACAGCACATGAGGAACACCAACTGTGCTCTCCTGAGCAGGACAGACAACGAATAAAGCCCTCCTCTCCTCCGCAATCCTCACATTTCCCATTGTTGATCAGCTGTTCCAACTCCAACAGCACTGAAAGATATTCATCACGATAAGGCAAGTATTGCTGAAGAAAATCATTTTGGGTCTGCAATGTTGGCCAATTGTTGATAATGGTGTCAAAATAACTCACTTTGGTTTTTCGTTGGATATTATTTGAGCCTCCTATATCGAAATCACCATACACCTCTCTGTCATATTCCACCAGAGAATAATCTTCAGTACATTGTTGTTGTTTTTATTTCAAAGGTGAGACTGGCTCTGTTTCACTATCAGAGTCTTCTTCATAGACAATTGAAGCATTAGCTTCTCTCCATGTATTTTTTCCCCTTCGAGTTTTTGATGATATATATGTATATTTGTAAGCACCCTGTTTTCTCTTTGTTGAACGAGTATCAGATGAAGATGGAGCTACTCTGAACCTATTGCGCCTCTGTGTGGCTTTTGAGCTCATTGAGATTATGAATGACTGGAGTGCAACATGAATTTTTGCATGGCTACACAATCCCCCCCCAAAACAGCAAATATCTTCGGGATTTTCCAGTACTATTTTCTACACATTTTCTCCCTCTTACCCTTCTGCCTCCTTCCTACTAACTCTAAAAAGAAGCTTTGCATGGGAAAACCCGGCCTTGGCACCCCCACCCTGTTGTGCACAGCATCCTTCATAAAGTGGGCAATTACGAACCTTTCTCCATTAAGCCAGGGTCCAACAGAGTGTTCTAGCACCCTTCCTGAGATATAAACCATTGTGCCAGGAGAATAATCAAGCTCTGCTTTGAGGTCTGCTAAGGCCAATGTTGCATGATGGTTTCTTCCTAGACTGACAAGAAGATCTAACAGTGAAGGAGATCCACCGCCATCTCTGTGGCTAAATGTGATCCGATTAGCAATGATTTCAAGTCCCGAAAAGATTGAGGGCCAAGATTCCACTGGGGCAGGTTTTTTTTGGGGGCGTCGAACTTCCTTGATGACCTCAGAAAATGCCGAAATGCCAGCTTGGAAAAGATCCGGCGCCACCACAGCAGTTATGGCATTCCATAGAACTTCTGATGTTGTCAAAGCTGCCATCTATTGTTGGACCTTCTTCGATTTATAAGACTCCAATGTCACCAATGGATCCATTAGTCGCTAAGAATAGAGTTAAAACTAAACTAAAAATAAACACTTGGTAAAAATACCATACCTCTTGTCTTTGCATGAAGTATGCAGGAACCACTGTTATTCTACCAGCCCCAAACTCCCCCCCACCATCTGGGACCATATAGCCCTCATCCCTCCAAGTGTTCTTATTTGTAAGGGATTTGAGAAGAGTATCCCTCAAGCCAACAGTGATGTGGTTGACATGCTCCTGATTATTTATTAATTAGCCTTGAAGGGGAATCCCAAACCAGAAACATACTAGGCGAGAAGATGTCAAAATATTAGGGAGGTAAACCACTAAAATTTTTCCGTGCCTGTCTATAACTGTTGTTGGAACCAAAATTTTGCCAAGCACTACTTCAGGGAAGAACTTCTTCAGTCTATCCGTTGTAGAGACTCATGCCTCTCATTGTGCAATATGGCAGTTTTCACTGGGGAGTACATGGCACGAACTTGTAGCATCACTCTGTGTGCTACCTGCAGCTATCTCTATATGAGGCGCAGCTTTCCCACGCAACGCGCGCCATGCGCGCGTACCTTTCCCGCGCTTCACGATGTATATGCGCGCGCGCTTTCCCACGCTTGAGCGCCCTATAGCGCCAGCCATCCGGAAGCATCCATCCACTGTCCACCAAGTTCCCTAGTGCGTATATTTCCATTTCTCACATTTGCTTATCGTTCCATCTTTATTTTTATCATGGACCCTTACTTACATATATCTTTACATACCTTACTCGGTAGCGCTTCGGCTCCGCATGACAGCGCTTAGGCGCCATACTTAAGCGCCAGCAGTACATACTATGACAAAAAAACTTACTCTCCCACCAGAACGACAGAGGACTTACTGGTTACTACCCACTATCCACCTAGCAGAACATAGTAGAAATCTATTTGTTTACACCTTGCATCTCCCTTCTCTTGTCTTACATCATATCATCACCTAAGCAAACTCACTCTTACTCTCTCTTGTTTCCGCATACACGCGCGCGCATTCCCGCGCTTCGCGCATTCTTGCGCCTCGCGCGCACCTGCGCTTTCCCGCGCTTCGCATTGGCCAACCAGTAGCGCTTTCAGTGCATACCTCTAGATCCTTGCTGCACTCGCTTCCCCTTTAGGGTCGAACGCACTTGTCGTCTCAAGTATAGCAGACTAGGCAACGCGCGACCTTACAACAATTATAGATACAGTCAGGAGCACTGTTCGTGCCTTGCTGTATCGTTGAACCTTCACCGTTTCAGCAGATGGCAACCCATCCAGATTTGGTGGTGACAATTTGACCTTCTCAGCATACCGGTCCACATCCCAATCAATATTGACTGTAGTTCAGCATTTAAAATCATATACAGCCATAAATTTCTCTTCACTCACTGGGGTTGACCATGGCATGCACAATTGTCAGGGTGGCCTGGGTGATTTCATATTCTGAAATTGACCCATCATTGAAGGTTAAATTATCAGCTGGTGATTCCAAGCACTGCCGAAGCTGTACTGCTATTCTCATCCTTGATTCCCTCATTAATTAATAGTCAGCTACAATCAATACTAAACCATAGTTACCTAGCTTTATGCAGTAATTCAGTTTCAACTCTACCATCTTGAAGGACACCTAGTTCAGATGAATTGCCCATGATCTCTCCAAACCTCCTGGTCAGAGCTGCCACTAGCTCAGTTGTCTTGCTTTTGAGGTTGTCCATTATGAAGAAGAAAAAATAAACCAAAGTTCTCGCGATCTGCGCTGATGTCGATTTAAGCATGATGTAATTAGACAATCAGACCATATGAAGGCAAATTTATTGTGACATAATAACCTAATATGTTTTGATTAACTTAGGCCCTTTAGAGCTATTTGCAGAATGCCAGGCCAAAATTGTGGCAAGGAGTATTTCAAATGACAAAGATGTATTGAATGGATTTGTGAGGCTGTCTAGCCAAGCTGACTCGCTCAGTATGAGAATATTCAGATTATTCACTATTCTTGTACTAGATACAAACATTATTTTGTCTTCCTTACAGTACAAGAATAGTGATGAAGACAATACTCTCTTTATGTGCGCTCTGTGTGCGAGAATAGTCAGACTACCATCCTGTACTAACTGTGCAAACATCTGCCACTAAGAGGACCAGTAAAGCTGGACAGCGTGCTTCTGGAAGCGTGAAGAGTCCCTCATCTGCTGCTCTGTCAGCATCTGCTCTCAAGCACTCTGCTACTGCAACCATGAAAACATAGTGCAAGAACAGAGAAATGGTTCACTATTCACTATTCTTGTACTGGATGCCACCATCATCTTATCTTCCTTACAGTACAAGATCACAACAGACTGAAATATTGAACAATGAGGATTATTCCTTTGTTGCAGCAGTCAAATTCTAATCTTTGGACGTTATTGCCCTTTATATCACTCTCACACGCTTGCACCCTACAGTACAAAAGATAGGTAAAAATGTACAGTAATTGATAATCTAGTATAGTGAAAGTGAGTATGAGACTGAATATTAAATTGGCGCTTACCAGATTAGACCAATGAAGGAGTAGTGAAACCAAAAATCCAAAGTAATTGATAATCTAGTGTAGTGAAAGTCAGTATGAGACTGAATATGAAATTGGCGCTTACCAGATTAAACCAATGAAGGAGTAGTGAAACCAAAACCATATATAAGGCTGGAGAAAGAAATGCAGTTAGTATTAGAGTATGTAGGAAAGAGAGACAAAAAAACCGGCCCAACAAACAAGCCAGGCGCGCCAAAAGCTAGAAAAAATGCAGTTAGTATCTGAGTATGCATGAAGCACAAAACACAGGCTCAACAAACAATGCAGGGGCGAAAAATCTAGAGAAAGAAATGTAGTTAGTGTTCTAAAGTTCAAGGCACCAATCCCTGGGGACATGGACAGCCAAGAACACATCCCCCAGATCCCAAAGTTCAAGGCGCCAATCCCTGGGGACATGGATAGCCAAGGACCTAAGAAGAGAAGAAAAGTAAGAGGCGCCAGTCTCTAGAGACATGGATAGCCAAGAAACAATTCAAACAAAGACAGGAAACTGACCTTGAGGCGCACTAACAAGCAAAAGCTTGATGTGCGCCAGCTATCAAGCACAGCTGTGAATAACGAATGGCAAGTTAGTACTGAAACAAAGGAAAGAAAACTGACCTTGAGGCGCACTATCAAGCGCAGCTGTGAATAAAAAATGGCAAGTTAGTACTACAAAGCATAAGTCAAACAAAACATACTAAGGGCGGTTGAAAATTAATAGTAGCACTGCCTTTGACCACTTGCAGCTGCAGTCTGCAAGTGGCCAAAGGACAGGCCACAGGATATGAGTGGATGATAGAGCATTGAGAGAGTGAGGGCGGAAACATGGTTGAAGTTGAGAAAGATGAACCGTGTGAACAATATTGACGGTTGATGTATTGTTTGTTTATTTGTTAATGTTTGCGCTGGCCATTCCCACGCACAAATCCAAGGGAGCAAACAAGTCCACAATCAGACTTTGCTGGTGGAGTCACGTGCATCTTTGGTTGGTTTTTGCACAAGTTTCTTTTCTCAACGCGTCTCTTTTGTCAACGTGTCTCTTTGTCATGTGAGTTTGTTTCTTTTGTCAACGCGTCTCTTTTCTCAGTGCGTCTCTTTTGTCAACGCGTCTCTTGTGTCAATGTGTCTCTTTATCATGTGAGTTTGTTTCTTTTCTCAACGCGTCTCTTTTCTCAGCGCGTCTTCTGTTCTCAACGCATCTCTTTGTCATGTGAGTTTGTTTCTTTTCTCAACGCGTCTCTTTTCTCAGCGCATCTCTTTTGTCAACACGTTCCTTTTTTCAACGCGTCTCTTTGTCATGTAAGTGTGTTTTGTTTGTCCCATGTAATATACTGACTAGTTCTTGGACATCTTTTTTTTGTCAATGTATCTCATTTGCTGATGCGTCTCTTTGTTAATGTGAGTTTATCTTTGTGTGGCCTTGTAGTATACTGACTACAGGCTCTCTTTATTCAGTGCATCTTTTCTCAGCGCGTCTTTTCTCAGCGCCACTCTTCTCCAACGTGTCTTTTTGAATGTGAGTGTCCTTATTTGGTCTTTGTGTGGCGCATGCTAGGTACACTGACTACAGGCTCTCTTTTTTCAGTGCATCTTTTCTCAGCGCGTTGAAGGTACAACAATTCAGATGGTGAGTCTGAACAATGTTGGGTCTTGCAGAACCTAGCTGCTATTCGACCCTAAAGGGTTTCTGGACCAGGCTCAAGGCTCAGAGAAGAGGAAATATGATAGAAACTTGCTGAATACTCAGACTCATAGTAGAACTGGTGAAAAGGTAACTTTCTTATGTAAGCTACAAAAGTGCAAACATAGCACTAAGGTAAAAACAGTCTCTGCAAGCCTAGCCAGAAATGAATCCCTACAGCGTCTTTTTGTCAGCGCCGCTCTTCTCCAACGCATCTTTTTGAATGTCAGTGTCCTTATTTGGTCTTTGTGTGGCACATGCAACTCTGCTAACACTGACTACAATTCTAGCATTTTGCGCACTCTCCCTCATCAATCATGGCCCGCACCAATAATACCACCAAGAAATGTACCAGTGGCTCAGTGCCACGTGTCCTCCTCAAGATCTCAAGAGTGCAACTCTCTGGAGGGGACCGCCAGAAAATGAAGGCTTTGAGTGCCACCAGGGGCGCCTTACCTGTGGGAGGTGGGGACTTAGAGAAGAGGAATGGTCAGCATGAGGTTAGTCTATGTTCTCTATGTTCTCTGTCTTCTGTCTGCTAATTCACTTTATCTTTCTTCTCAAGGCTTTGACTGCCACCAGGGCCGCCACCAGTGAGGACTTAGAAATGAGAAGTGCCCACAATGAGGTGCGCACATTCTCTCACTCCTCTATTTGCTAATGTACATTGTTCTTCTTATAGTATTGTATACTCTGCAGGGATGGTGCAGCGCGCTATGAAGACAATACTCTCTTCATGTGCGCGCTGTGTCCCAGAGTCGTCTGCAGGCTCTGCCTGCAACTGCCGCCTGACATAGAGACCAAAGTCCTACAAGAGGACGTCTCATTCAGGTGCATCTGTTGTCATTTGAAGATGGAACAAAGCACCGCCTACTTTGTGAGTATTTTTTTTCATTTGTTCATGCCTCATTGATAACATCACATCACTACAGGGTTTCTATAACAGCAACGGCCTTCCCTTCTTGGACAAGTTCCTATCTGTCACTGGTGCACTTGAGGTGTCCGCCCAAGCTGAAATATCGGCGGCTCTGGTCATTTTTATTCACCTTATCCTCGTTGACTTCGAAGTGGCTGGTAGCCCTTTTGAGTTTGCTCACAGCTTCCTTAAGTCATACTACTCCGGCAATGGCATCAAATATGTCGAGGTATACTACGACATTGGTACTGATGGCAAGCTTGCCCCCTACTGAACCCAAATCCGCCACCTTATTAAAGGTTTGAAGAACTCATTCATCTGGGAGCGTGTTGTCATCAGTGTGTCCACTCACACTGACGAGGACTTTGGAGACCCTTTTACTGGGTATGGAGATGATTCAAAGGGCTATGTGAGCACTCCAGTCAATGATGTGAGTTTTTCTTTCTTTGGAACCGGCCAATAGTGACTATTGTTACAGTTCTTGGATATAATCCTCCAACCCTGGCAAAGTATCATTGACCATGCCCAAGAATCATATCTCTGGATGCTCTGGTGCGGCTCCCTTGTCAACAACCTAGACTCATTTCATGGCTTGCAAGAGGCTGTTGTCCAGTAAGTTTTTTTTGCCTTTATTTGACATGGTTTATCTAATGTTTCCACAGACACAAATTAACCGGTACCATCGCCTTCAATGCTCCTCGTTTTCAACCTTCTTTCGCCTCACACTTGCTCATTTCATTTACTGAGAGGGTCCTCATTGGGCGGTGCCCACTTCGGTTGGCTTTCAAGGATATGCTCTCACAGTCCTGGGACCTAGGCAGCCACTCTGACATATTTCTGTTGACCACTGTCAAGGAGGGCGGCCTTAGTATTTCTAGGTTTGCATGGGCTAATGTGGAGGTCCGTCTTTGGGGCAACCCCTTGCCTATCCAATGCAGTGGGTGTGGTAGGGTTAATTCTTGGAGGTCTGCCTATGTCAAGGACAGCAAGTCTTACATTTTTGAGTGCAAAAATGACTCTTGCAAAGTAAGCCACACATTCTCTCAGCCACCAGGGTCCACAGTACTCTATTCTGGTAGGAAGAATGGTAGTACCTGGTTGGATATTCCATTGAAGGCGCACTTAGCTTAATTTACATGTTTTTCTGCAATACTTGTCTTACACTGTTCTTTGCTCATGTTATCACTGTTCTGAGTTTGAGTAATCTTTTGTTTTTCATGTCTGAATCTTGAGATTTGGTGTATAAACTAATGTCATTAAGTCTGAGTTGGTCAGAAAGTGCAACCAGTCCACAACTCACTTGACAACAGATCAACAAACCATGTCACATGATCAAAACACATGACTGTGTTTTGATCATGTGACATGGTTTGTTGATCTGTTGTCAAGTGAGTTGTGGACTGGTTGCACTTTCTGCAAACTTATACCAGCCTACATTCTTGAGATTTTTGCATATAATGGCTGACTGGACACATGTATTCAAGAGTGTTTTGGATGAGCACAAGGTTGCCTATGTTTCTGCCAAAGGAAACACGGCCAAGAAGGCTACAATCCTCAAAACCATCAAGGATTCTATAGTTGAAACTGATCGAGCCAAGGATCCTTCTATCATGCTTCCAGACAAAAACTTTCGGAAGGTAGGTTTCCAGTGTCTTTACATCTACAGTAATCTAATTTTATAGGCTATTCGTACATATTACTTGCGGTTCCTGGAGGATGACGAAGATCAGGACCTTGAGAAAAAAATCATACAGGAAGGTCATAAACTCCCATCTGGTCCAGGGATTGTCACTGTAGACATGGTCAGAGACCGAGAGGATGACAAGCCTCTGGATGCTGCAGCATTCAAGACTGAATTCTCACCTTTTGATGTCGCTCAGAAGTTGTTTAAAGAAGAAATTGGGGAGTATGATAAGAAGCATCGTGACATCTCTGACCTGAGGTCCATGGGGACAAGGACAAAGTTTGTCCGGTGTAGAGACTCGCGCCTCTCAATGCGAATATACGGCCCTATTACCCACATAATTCCCTACACGTTCCAGCTCTTATCCGAAGGATCAGTCATACGCGCTCTCACGCGCGCGCCCTACGTATGCGCCTCGTTCGCGCGCCTTACACGCACTCGCGCCTTTCGCGCGCGCTCGTGCGCCTCCCCTTAGGCCTTCGTACCCTTGTCCGTCCGTCCGTCCTATGTCCTCGCTGATTTACTGGTGCGTTATTCTTATCCCTTTCACTGAATTGACGTACCTTCGGTCCGATCTCCGCGCTTACATACAGAAAGTCTATCATAGGCTTTAGAATATATTTAGAGTTGATATGGTTACTCGGTTCAGTACCACGCTCGGAAGCGCGCCGCATAGCGTAATCTCCCTTCTTAAATAGAGGGAAAGTTCCTTTTAACTTACTTCCTTCCCTTCTCCCTTATCGGAGTATACTGCAAATTGTATAAGTGCACCTTAGTACTTGAAATCCGATTATACTTCACTCTTCTACCATCGCTCGCGCATCTGTTATACTTGAACACTCTCCCCCATCGCTCAAAAGCACGCTTCCGTATACACGCGCGCCCCTCGCATCTTTCGCTCGCGCGCGCCCTTCGCGCACCTTTGCATTTGCTTACTCGCGCCTACGCGCGTGTTATCTTCTCGCGCCTTCGCGCGCGTTATCTTCTCGCGCCTGTTACCACCCGTCTAGTTGGCGAAGACTCCCTCCATTACATTAAAGAGGAACTTCTCTCAGTAGCTGTCCTTTGGGTCGAGTCGTATTCTCGTATCCTGGTCTTACTGTAGAACCCCCGTTAGCTTTAGCATTTCACCTATAGTCAAGATTCCTCACCTTCACCGGTCCTGGTACAATGCCCTCTCACCAGATGTGCTTGAGGAGCTCAGACTTGTGGCTGAAAAGTGGAATGAGGAAGGTCCTCATTCTCACGTCAAAGACAGGTATTTTTTCAATACTACATTGATATATTTAAGATAATCTCATGTGTATCTACAGATACCGTGGCCGACACCAGAAGAAACTTATGGAGGACTTCATAAAGATGGCAGGAAGAACTATGGGTTTACATCTTGTGATTCTCGCAGCTCATGATCGAGGGGAGGGAAAAATGCCTGGAACAACCATGTCAGTGTTATTTTTTCTTTTCTCATCAACATTTATATTAATGAATTACTGGCTTAGCTGGGAATCCTGTCCCAGGAAGTCGAATAAAACTTTTACTCTCGCATCCAAAGAAAATAAAAATGGGCAGGAGAGTCTCAAGACCGCCTTGCTGACTGGCTGACTGAAGCAGAGTACAGTAAGTCTTGGCTACTGTAATTGATTTACTTGTGAATGATCTAGCAGCAGGCATAGACCCTGAAGACCAATCTGACAAGGAAGATGAGAACTTGCCCGATTTAACAGTGCATGTCGACGATGAGGGTTATCCTTGCCTACCAACAGGGTTTGAATCTCTCATGCTCAAAAATCAGCAGAAGATTGTACAAAAGGTCTTTCAAAAGGCTTATGGTGATTTATTTCTATTTTTGAAGTCATTTATTTTTCTGACAGCTTACATTCAACAGCAGTCATCTCAAACAACCCTTGGGCTGCAGTCCTCTGGGGTCATATCACTCAGGATCCGGACCATTACCTTGACATGGACTGCATCCCTCGGAATGTCATCATCAAGGATCCTTCTCACCTGCAGAAGGACGTCATCAGCATCATTTTTTTACATTGGAAGTTCCGTGCTAATCGTAATGAACCAATTTTACGATTCATTGGGTATAAGGAAGGTGACTTCTATGATTCTCTGGCTAAGAAGGGCGATGTAAGTCAAAAATCAAGGAAGAACCGAAAATATGTGGAAGTATCAGATGATGAGGACAAGGTACTGAAGAAGGTCCCCCAAGCCAATCTTTCTTTGGATGAAGAGGAAGACTTGGCAATAGGTCCGAGCCACACCTTGTCTCTTTCCCATTCCTGTCCGAAATTCCATATGGGCGGTGATACAGTTGGTTATCTTCAGTCCCTCTCCACTCTCCCATCATACCATCATCTGTTGGCCACAGTTCAAAAGCTTGCTGAGACAGTATGTATAATTCATGAATTTTATGATACAGCACTGAATTTGACTTGTTTTTGAAAGCAAACTACAGATCCTAAGGGCAAAGCTAGGAAGCAACATCTGCCTGGTTGGTCATCTTGGACGTGGTCTGAGGAATATCTACCTCAAAATATGCACTATGATATTCAGGCGTCCTTCACTGCTTTGAAGGAACTAGAGAGCTATATCATCAGATCTCGTGGTTGGGGTATGATTGTTATCCTTGGACTTGGACTCCTCCTTCGTGAGTGTCGCCGTGCTCAGGAGTATGAAGCAGATGAGGCTGGAGATGATGTACCTGAATATTTGGGCGCCTCCATCCTTGGTATTCAGGTAGGGGAGAAGATTGAGGAGGCAATTACCAGAATTCAGGTGAAGGTGGAGGCAATGCTGCCAGATGGTCATGAGAAGCAGATGTCAGTGACCGAAGAAGTTCATATGAGGCGTCTGGAGAACAAAAGGCAGGTGAAAGAGAGGAGGGAGGCAGAGCAGGCAAGGGTTGCTGCAGAGAAGAAAGCTGCTGAGGAGGCTCGAGTGGCTGAGCAGAAGAGAGTGGCTGAGGTGGCTTGATTGGCTAAGGAGAGGGCTGCCACATTCAAGAAGGCAAGTAGTACTAAAGCTGGGGGAAAAGGAAAGGGTAAGTGGCCAGCAACAGATGTGAATGATTCACCCATGAAAAAGGTGAAGACATCTGCTCCTCCTGCTCCTCGTCGTTCTGCCAGAGGGAAAGTACCTTCAAAGAAGTATAAGGACTGAAACACTAGTATTAGCACAATGTCTTAGAATTTTCTTTTTGCAGTTTGTTGTCATATACACTTCAATTTTCATGTCTATATTTATATTAGCACTGAGGATACTTTACTCTATGTATGATATGGTTCATATAATTTATGCAGGTGGTTATAATAGGCCTATGTACCTCTGCTGATTGCACAGGCAGGACGGCCTGCCCCACAAGAACATATTGGCCTATTAGGCCAGCCAGTCTACGTGATATGTAGAGCCTGGGTGGCCGTCACCTGATATCATATTGGCCCATTGGGCCAACCAGCCTATGTGGCATGTAGATCAGGTGTGGCTGCCCTACTGATCACATTTTGGCCTATTGGGCCAGCCTGTTTGTGCAGCATGTAGGCCAAGGGCGGCTGGCCCTTGATAACATATTGACCAATTGGGCTGGCCAGTTTGTGCAGCATGTAGGCCGAGGCCGGCCAACCTCTGATAACATATTGACCAATTAGGCTGGCCAGGTTGTGCAGCATGTAGGCCTAGGCCAGCCGACCATTCATAACATATTGACCCTTTGGGCCAGCCTGCCTAGTCACCAGGTAAGGAGTGTAGTTGTAGACAGTACTTTTTCTTCTCAATATGTCATAGAATTTGGGTCACCATCTATGTCATCCTATATGGGATATATCTTTTATGAGATGTTTGAGGTTGGCTAGACCTAATACTGTATGGAATCTTATGTTACCTTACAGTGTTTAAGACAACCTGCATATTTATCCAGGATGCATGGTAAGTCAGATCTATATTAATATGCTGGTTTCACTGATATAAGTAGTGTAGAAATGACATTCTCTATATGAGGTATGAGCTTGCAGGAGTCCTACATCATTAGCCTACATAGGTATGGCAGAGATATTATTGTGTGTCTGGGGCACGGGCCTGCATAGGTAGTGCAGAGACATTATTTTGTGTCTGGGGCACGGGCCTGCACAGGCAGTGCAGAGACATTATTTTGTGTCTGGGGCACCGGCCTGCACAGGTAGTGCAGAGACATTATTTTGTGTCTGGGGCACCGGCCTGCACAGGTAGTGCAGAAACATCATTTTGTGTCTGGGGCACCGGCCTACCAGGGTTCTGCATGACCGGCCTACACAGGTAGTGCATAGGCCGGCCGGTGTCCTGTACATCAGGTTTTGCAGGCCAATGTACATGTCCTATCAACAGGTTCTGCAGTGCTATAAGACTGAAAGGTGTGGAGGCACTGCCCAGCCTGATTTCTATGCCCGTACTCATGGGCACGGAAGCACGGGCATTGGACCCTCCCAGACGAAGTTCACGTCTGGCGGATTCTGGTGCCCATCAGGAGGCGGACGTGGTCCCAACTAGTCAGGTCAGTAGCAACCGACAAGGAAGCGGTATTATCAGTACCAGGACTGTCCAACGAGGACACGGTATTATCAGTACCGGCCAATGAGGATGCGGTACTATCAGTACTGGCCAATGAGGGTGCGGTACTATCAGTATTGGGCGACAGGGCCACGATACCAAGCAGCAGGAAGTACCCTTGCCTGCGGAATCTGGGTGACCTGAAATGGTGGCCAAATTCGCGAGACGGATGGCTCCCCATTTCGTCCTTAGAGGCCCTGAGGAACGAAAGGAAGGGGGGGATGCTGGACAGACCACCAATCAGCAGTCACCTACGAGCGACAATAACATCATCGAGCATGGTGAAGACGCACCAGAAGTAATGAGGTTCCCGGCGGTATACCCAGACGAGGATGAGCTGATAATTGGTATCAGGCATCAGTATTCCGAGGACCCATTCTTTAAACGAATCTTGGACTCACCAACAGAATACCAGAACTTCCATGTGAACGAAGGTCTCATCCATCTGAACCTCAAGGACAAGACATTATTATGCATACCAAACGTAAAGATTAAGGGACGCACGGTTCAAGAAATGGTGATCTCCCAAGCACACTCACTGCTAGCACATCTGGGAGCCTCGAAGACGTTGACTTACTTGCGGGACCATGTCTGGTGGAAGACAATGGTGAATGACGTCAACGCATACTGCGCTTCCTGCATGACCTGCAAAAGGAGCAAACCGTCAAATCAAAAGCCATTCGGATTACTGAACCCCTTACCGGTACCATCCAGGCCTTGGGAATCCATTGGGATGGACTTCATAGGCCCCCTCCCCATGTCTAAGAACCAGGACAGTGAATACGACACGATGACAGTGATTATCGAACTACTCACCGGAATGGTACACTTGGTACCCAGCAGAGTCAACTACACTGCGAAGGATGTCGCAGAACTGGTGTTCACCAAAGTATACAAATACCATGAGCTACCAAGTGCAATCATCAGTGACTGGAATGTGCTGTTCACCAGCACCTTTTGGACTCACATGAACAAGCTGCTGGGCATCAACCAGCGCATGTCGAGTGCGTACCACCCCAAGTCCGACGGATCCACAGAGCGCGTTAATCGGACCATCGGTCAGATGGTCAGAGCCATCATATCACCCACCCAGACGGACTGGGTGACGAAGCTACTGGCTATAGAATTCGCCATTAATACCTCAAGCTCCGAGTCAACTAAGGAATCACCTTTCATGTTGAACATGGGCCGAATACCCCACGCGATGGTCTGGAACAACCCATCGAAGGACAAGTATCCAAGTGTGCGCGTCTACCTGCAGAAGATGAAGAGTGCGACAATGAAGGCGCATGATTCCATCATAGAAGCGCGTGTGAAACAAACCCGGAACACGAACCGACGGCGTCAGTTGTGTCCATTTAAGGAAGGTGATCTTGCTTACGTGTCAACAAAGAACATGTCACTTCCAAAGGGAGTGGCACGCAAGTTCTCCCCCAAGTATATTGGGCCATATAAACTGACCTGCGACTATGGTAACAATTCCTTCATGCTTGACTTACCAAGCAGGTTGCGTCAATGAGGAATCCACCCGGTTTTCCATGCATCGTTGCTACGGATTCATGTGCCCAATGACGATCGATTGTTCCCTGGTCGAACGGACTCCCAGTTATTCGATTTTGGAGACTTACCTGAACGTGAATGGTCAGTGGACAAGATTCTCTCCCACTCCGGCACCCGCGAAGGTGCACTATTCAAGGTTAGATGGCGGGCTGGGGACGTCACTTGGCTACCGTATGAGCAAGTATCCCACCTGGCCGCTCTGGCTGAATATTTAGACCTCGTTGGAGTACGCAAGATTTGGGACTTGATGGATGGCAACGGGACACCCCCTCGTGACGATCCGCGATCATATTTGGGGTACGTCTCACTAGAAGACCAGGCTAACTTAAATACAGTGTCAGCCTCCCCAATCCAAACCAACCACCTCGAACCCCACTTTGACCCATCCCCATCCAACACCAACCACACCCACCTATCCTGGTTTGAGGACGGCGAAATCAGCTTATTTGCCATGTCCCACACCCCCGACGAGTCCCATCTACTCTTCTTCTTGGCCCATGGCTGAGACGTTCTCGTTGGCAACCCCGAAAACAAGGACGACTCTCACCTTGTGACGCATGAGCAGCTCAAGCTCTTCGTCATGTATTCCCATGCTTTACGCAACAAACCTCCCCACACTCGACCCCCTAGCCCCCTAGGCTACGAATTCTTCGCCCACACTTTTAATAGCAAAGGGCTGCCTTCGACCGCATCATACATCGACGAGTCTGGTGTAAAATCTAGACACATGTTAATCCTCAGTCCCGTGTAAGTGACTGTATTACTATATACCTAGACACACATTAATCTATCGAGATACCATTAGTGTCTAGGCGGCGTGCAAGTGATAAATGGAACATACCCTCAGTCTCATGTAAGTGACTGAGGGAAAAGGGAAAATGTAGGGAAACAAGTATATAAGTGTCTGTGTTGGAATACTAACAATCAGACTCCGTGTCGCATCACACGTGCACATCTGTGCATCAACATCTGGCGCGGTGGTGAGCACCGGGTCTGCAATTGAGATCATGGATGTTATCAGTGATGAAGAAGATAGTGAGATCACCGTGTCGTCCGCCCGCATGGCACAGGTGGAGCAGATGGTATGGCACACTGCACTGAGCACATCTCACCAACGAGAGAAGATAGAGCAGAGACGCGCCGGCCAGAGGAAGGAGCGCAACTTTGGGCGTAAGCAGACGCAGAAGCTCAACAAAAAGGGACTAGGGAAGATCCAAAAAGAAACTGACCTGCCCACTACATATCCGGTGGCAGGTTCTTCCTCCGCAGCACCCCCCGAGGAGGTTATGGCTGAGATGGACTGACGTCCATAGGCAGAAGAAGGCGAGGGAGACATAGGTCACCCTGGAGGGGGAGATGTAATGGTCACTCAGTTGACGCGCCGTCACTGGCTTCCTCTCACCCTTGTCTAAAACGTATTGGACTCATTTATTCCTATAGCTACAGCTACTCTACTATATGCTCGGCCGACGTACTTACTACCTGTTTCTACCCCCACTGTCTTGCTTCGCCGTTATCTCCTGAGCCTCAGTAGTATAAAACCAGAGTCAATTTGTAGTCGTACAGTAGTGTTTTTCTGGACCCAAATATCAGACTTTTATCCTGTTATTTCCTGAGAGCATTCTTCTCTTGTGCCATTGACTTCGAGCTTCACGAGCTAAATAGTCACTGTCACAGTGCCTGTTCACCAGCACCTTCAACTTCTACATCACAAAAATTGCTCGACTCAGACAAGGCCATGTATGGTCATGCCTACGGTATCAGGGCTGCCAGGTATATCAGCTGCCGGCCCAGGTATGTCTTGTCATCCTAGGGAATGCTAACTTCGATCAACATGTGCGTCTACGTCGTACTTCAGCTTGTGACATTGTTCATCGTGTAGATAATTCAGACATAGTAAATCATTCAGATATATCCATGCAATCCATTGTATTTTGTATCTATATGATGCAACAAGAACACAAAATACAGTATAATGTACGAAAACGCTAGTCAATGGAGTGTAGAGTCCCTAAAAAGCATGGATCAGGATGACGACGAGAATGTGAGTCGCGAGGTATGAGTCCACAACGAACACGCAAAAACATGAAAGCGCGGGAACTGAGTGAAAACGAGTCCTGCAATCGAAGATATGAGTACTAGACCAACAAGTCAACAGAGAGCAGACCATGCATCCAAAGTTGGTGGGTGGAATGAGAGCGTTCGAACTGAATGCCAAGGAAATTTGTAATAGGCCCTAAGTCCTTGATCCTGAAGCGGTGAGCGATTCGGCCTTTGACGTACGCGAGGAAAGGCTTCGTGCTTCGAATAGCGACATGTGCGTGCTCCTCAATGCACGCATTCGCCATGACCTCTGACACATCAGTGTTCGGCTCGACGTCAGCGATATCCTCTGGAAGTCCCTCTCCTCTAGGTTTTCAACTGCAACCACCCCCTCACAAAGTGAGTTCTCAGCGGCACGGTCTGCTCGGTTCTGACGGAAAGCCATCAGGCAGACATTTGAAGCTGCAAGCTCATCCGCATAGGACTGCCCTGCTGGTGTGGGGATGCGTGCGTGAGAGGAACGTCGAGGCGCAGTGGATGAAGAGTAAGTTCATGTTGGGAAACAATACTGAGGTGTTGACCTGGTCACGACGATGTAAAAGTACGAACAGAAACACTTAGTTAATGGGACCAGAGGATCGACATGCGATGGAGTTTGTATGGTGCAGAAGCGAGAAGTCCGGGAAGTCAAGAAGTAAGTAAGCATCAGTACTAAGCAGATCAAAACACGGGAACACGCACCTACTGAGAGTGAGACATGGCCGTGGTACCATCAGCATTGGGTAAGCAGGCCAAAAGATGAGGTCACACACCCACTGAGTGAGACATGGCTACAGCACCATCAGCGTCGAAACATTCTGGCCAGCTATCGAGATACCGCGATGGGAGCTTCTTCTTCCGCAAAAGCTACATCAAGGATAGTATTTGATATGGCGTGGGGGGGATCTAAGACATGAACTGAAACACTCATGTGACGAATAGATACCCTTGATAGTGATGGACTTACTTTTAGCTTCCGGAAGTGCACCTAGACTTACACTTGATTTAACAATGGTTGGTAGCCAGTTTGTCGTGGACCAAGCACCTCGCGGGGGTCCTCCTGATACTTGTCCGATTCTGAATGATGATGCCGGTGACTTGTTGTTGACAAGAACCTTGCTGGAAACAGTATTTGTAGAATCCACACCCCCCAAAGTAGCTTGTGACTTACCCTTTCTGAAACATATTTGCTCGCGCCGTAGCCAAGACCTACTGCGACCCCTGCGTCGTATTCCACTTCTTCAGGGAAAGGTCCTTTTGCTTTATCCCAACTTTGAGCAGACGAGATGGAAGATGCGAACATGAAACACGGCTTTGGATGACGCGGAGAAGATAGTGCCAAGTCTATGAGATTCCGCATTCCCCGCACATGAGTGTTGAATGACGAGAGCGCCAGGTTAAAGTCGAGTCGCCAAGCATTGTGAATGATGACAGTGACAGACGTGCAGATCTATGCTATCTTCAGTTGATTCAGTGACACTGGAAATGACGCAAACCTTTTGATATAACTCTTTATCCAGCCCTAGATGGTCATCGGATGTATCAGTTTCTACATACACTAGTTTGTCAATCCGACTGAATACCTCTCGATCATGTTGTCGATATCGGCCTTGGCGTCGACGGTAGTTGTACCATTGCGCTGCAATACTGCATTAATGACGCTTCTCGCGAGCTGGCAAATCGAAGGACTTGAAAATATGATGTTCTGGTCAATCCGTAATGCTGATGCCTGAAGGTCGCGATCTGAAGATGAGCTGAGAGAGCCGATAATGCAGTTTTTGAGAAATGTCACAGAGATACTAGATGTATGGAGTAAGCAGAGCACTAGCCTTTGTCAGTCTCAACCCACCTGTCAAATCCCTGAGTGAAAAGGTCCGCATCAGGATCAACTTCCTTGTCGGCGTTCACAGCAGCAGCGTGGTCCGCTGCATGGACCTTGAGCCATCCCTCAACATCTTCCGCAGTCCAGCTTGTAGGCAATGGTACATTGATACCTGCTCTAGTGCTGCCCTCCACCTTTTCATATCTGTCGCCCATGAATTCTAGTTAACAGAGTGACTACTATGCTCACAGGGAATTGATCTCCTCCTCATACAGCTTGATGGTTGCTTTTTTCATGACGGTCCCTTTTCCAGCTCGAAGCATGGGCTTCTCGCTGTGTGTCACAAGAATCATTTCTTGGAAGATCCTGCTGAAGGCAGGAGCCTCCTTATTCGCATCTTCTATGTCCGGCCTTCAAGAACTTCATCAGACGCAACAGTAGCATGCGATCTTTTAGGGGGACTTACCACACTCGGTTCCTAAACTCGGCAAGTTGCTTTTCGTCATCAATGTCAATTTCACACCCTGCTCGTGGCTCTATGAGGACCCCAACTTGATTGCGTCCATGGCCAAAGATGACGGCACTGGTTACGTAGGGGCTGGCACAGATGATGCTTTCCATGGGAGCTGGTACTGTCTTCTCCCCGGACGAGAGTATCAAAATGTCATCGATCCTTCCTACGCTGCAAGGAAAATGTCAGAGGATATGAATAACGGAAAATACAGTTGTACATCTTCCACAGACCCTCAATGGTCGGGTGCTTTATGAATATATCTGAAGTAGCTGGGATTGCAGATAGAGGGTCGCTGCAGCGGACTTGAAAGCTAGGGAAGGGATGGAAGTCCATTCGCCATGAGGGCAAGACATCACTGAGGCCACAGTGAGGCGTTGGAATGGAAGTAGTGCGCATATACTCACCTAATAAATGCGGATACGCGTCTAGAGATAGTAAGTACACTGTATGAGAAGGGGTGGACCGAGCTACTAAGTGTTACCTTGAACGGAAATACTATGACCAATAGCCACAAGGGTGGTGGTGGTGGGAAGAGCAGTGGGTAAGTACCAGTTGAACGTTGAAGAGCCGCTCGAGTTCAACTTGTTGGGGGCAAACCCCAACCCCAACGTTTGCGCACAAGTGGCAAAGTGGCAAAGGGTACCAAACAAAGGACTTAGAGAAAATCGAGTGTGTGTAGATCTTGTCGACAATGTATTGCATATATCATGTAGATACAGATGCACGTCATTATGAGGTATCTATATCAGGTCGGGATGTCGCCGGCATGACCTGATAGTGACTTGTCAAGCGCTGTGGCGCACAACAGTCTCAATCGGGTAACATCTTAGTTAAGCAATTTTTGTGTCGTGGTTTAACTTGTTTGGCCTAGTTGAATCAATTCGCGACGCCCTCGAAATCTTCATGACTCAGCCTCAGCGGCTTATTACAAACATTGTAGGCCCCTCTACTGTTAGGCCCCTCTACTAAATGATATAAGTAGCTGGTGAGGAGTCTCGATTCTTGGTCGTCGCTCACTTGCCCTCGCAACCGTCTGCTCGTGCACGATTCCAATTTTAAGCTATTCATTTAAATCTTTGATTGATCATACTTCACCCTACACATGTCCGCAGAAGCAAACAATGCCGCCTCATCGTCTCAAACACAGTCTTCAGGATCGCTTAGAGGACCAGGAATGGCGGGGAATACGCCCCAGACCAGCTCTAATGGATTGGATTTATCCCAACAAGTCTTGGCGACGGCCTGTATCGCTGTCGTCAACAACTACAGACGCTCACATGTTACCAAACTTGAGGCAATCATCATGCTCGTTGAAACTATCTCAGGAGAACTATTCGCTACCCCGGGACGAGTCTCAACTGTCACTGGACCCTACCTTGCCATGCTCGATGAAGTTGAGTCAGAACTTGCACGAGCCACTGATAGCTCAACAAGGGGACGAACAACACACTCGGATGAACCAGCACCTGTTGACGAAGAAGCCCCTTTACCAGAGGATAGGAGTAGAGCAGGATCTGTTGAGCCAGGAGAACCTGCTCGCAAACGATCCAAGCTCGACTATTCCTCTATCGACGCCGCAGTTAAGTGTAGGAAGTTCCAACCGCTCTCACCCAGTCTTGAACAAACCAACGAGATTCTCAAAAATTGGTCGCAAGACCCGAAGGAGGTTCAGCGATACCTCATGTATCACAAGTTCGGACCTGAATTCCATAAGAGCGGATGGACAGAAATCATCGCAGGAGAATGCATCAACCTCGACGTTGTCCACACCATCATTACCTCTTCTCACACGGTTGACAAACAAACCGAAGTCCTCGGAGGAATGGAAATCAAGTATGGAGTATTGGAGGCAGCATCCAAGAAAATTGCCACCGACTCCGACTGGTACGCAGCGTGGAACAAATCAGCTGATGCCGTCAAATTTGCCTTCCCTCACCGAGAAGCAGAGCTCAATGGTTACTTTGCCTTTATCTCCAAATACTTCTCGCAAGCTAATCCATCAGCCCATGGAAGAGTTATACGCTTCAATAAAGCCGTTAGAAACAGAGTCGGATCTTCATGCAGACTTGAGCTCACCAACTTCCGTGAGTTCGAAGACCTTATTTTCTCGCATTTCAACGCAGATGGAAGACAGCGAAATGATCCCATGGATACAAAGTCCAGCTCTGGAAGCTCGCCCAGTACATCCAACAAACATGACCCATGTCAGAAGTGGAACACTGGCGAGTGCTCCCGTAGTGCAGCCTCTTGCCGATACGCACATGTCTGCTCATTTGAGCAAGACGGTCGCACCTGTGGACGTCGCCACACCAAAACGAAGCATCACAAAGACTCAAAACCCAAATCAACCTGAGAAACCGTTGAAACATCCTCGTCACCGTCGTGGCCTGATTTGGTCACCGCTTGATGCTAGTTTCAGTCCTACTGCTCGTTCCACCAAATATTCAGAACCCGTCCCTAATGCTCCTGATGCGCTCGCTGACAGTGATGCTGCTCACACTGTCGTCAGCAGACCAGACTTATTCAAGATAATTTGCCCTATCAAAGTTGACATTTTCCAATCTTTGCTAGCTGAACATCCCAACCAGCCGTTCGTTATTTCTGTTTGTCGAGCCTTGCAGGAAGGCTTTTGGCCTTGGGTGGACGTTCCTGACGACACCTACCCTTCGATTAACGATAACTCAATGCACACATGCCACAAGACAGACGAGCAGTTAGCCTTCATCAAGACTCAGCTCGAAGAAGAGATATGTTTAGGACATGTCTCTGAGAGCTTCGGAACAGACTTACTGCCTGGAATGTATAGCGTGCCTATGCATACCGTCCTCAAACCAAACTCAGACAAGCTGCGGCTCGTTGTCGACCACACGGCTGGTGACTATTCTCTTAATTCAATGATTGACTCTGATTCCATTAAAGGAATGAAGCTCGATGGACTTCACTCCCTTGGCGCCTCACTCCTTCGTTATCGAGAGCAACATCCCAATGCTGAGCTCGTCATGTTCAAATCTGACGTCTCACAAGCCTTCCGGAGGCTACCAATGCATCCTCTCTGGCAGGTCAAACAATTTTTGTCCGTTAATGGGCAGCGGCACGTCGATCGCAACAACAATTTCGGTGGACGGGGTTCTCCAAAGGTCTGTATTTCGTCTATGTCATTAGTGGCCTGGATCGTGATTCATCGGGTCCTTATCGAGGCGCTGAAAACATACATGGACGACTCCTTTTCATATGAGCTTGCTTCTCAGAAGCTATACTATCCCCCATGTCAATGCTCCTTCCCTGAAAAGCAAACTTGCTTGCTTCAATTGTGGGACGAAATTGGTCTCCTGCACGAAAAACCAAAGCAGCTGTCCGGCTCACGTCTTACCGTGATCGGGTTTGATGTTGACCCTAATGCTATGTCAGCGACTCTTCCTGACCACAAAAAGACTGAACTAGTTGCACATTTGCGTAACTTCGCAGGAAAAGGGTACCGTTGGTCCCTCCAAGAATTTCAACAGCTCGCTGGCTGGTGTGAGTGGAGTTTTAACATGTTCCCTTTGCTCAAGCCGGGACTGTCAGCTGTATATGAGAAAATCCGTGGAAAAACGCAGCCATCTGCGCGCCTTCACGTCAATAATACTGTGATTCACGAACTTCGTTGGATGGCGGACCACGTGGACCGTTCACCTGGACTGCTCTTTTACAAATCCCTCGACTTCAGTCCCACATCCGACGACGTGGTGGTTGCACATACTGATGCATCAGGAATTGGACTTGGTGTCTGGTTTCCCTGGGAGGACTTCGCGTGTCAGTGTCCACTCCCGGAGAACATGCCAACAACGACCATCTTCTTCGCAGAAGCCTTGGCAGTCTGTTCGGTGATCCACGCCATACAGAATATGCCCGAGGTTCCGCCGAGGATGCTGATCTACACAGACAACACCAACGTTGTGTCAATGTTCAACACCTTACGTGCTCATCCTCCCTATAACACCATCCTCTTGTCCGTGGTTGACGTGATCATTGAGTATCATGTTGATCTGCGTGTCGAACACATCAGTGGTTGTGAGAACAACGTGGCGGACGCACTGTCACGTTTTCAGAATGAACATGTGTATGAGTTCGCACCTAATGCACAAATTTACGATTTCGAACCCCCTCGGGATGCGCTGGGGGTAGCGGAAAAATGATCCCAATGTTGTTAATGTCCAGGCAGCCTGTCAGGGAAGCCTGGACTGATGAGCGTCTCTCTCACGAACGCTCGATCGCACTCAGATTAGCTATTGAACCTTCAACATCTTCTGCTTACAACTCACACCTTAATTCATACATCAACTTCTGCCAACTCCACCATTGTGTTATTGACCCCACGATGAATCAATCTACGCTTGATGGTTCTTGTATGTTTAGGGCAAGCGGAGTCCCCCAGCTTCATGCTCGGGGGACTCGGTCACAAATTTATTTAGTGTCGCGAATACAAATGAATAGTACAGTCGGGGACTTCGGAGAAGTGAATAACTAGCGGATAGAGGCTCGGGTGAGACGACTGAAATGGAGGCTCGAAAGAATGCTAAAGGGCCTATTTTTTTTTTTTGATACGTCCGTTATAGATTGTTGTGATGTCCATTTTGTCGTGTTGATTTATGCCAAGCGAGGGAGACTTGAGTCCGAGACTGAAATACAAATACAAGTGTGACTGTCGAGTGAAACACAGAGAGTGAGAATGTGACCTGCTGATGTCAGAAATGATGTGGCGTTATGGCGCATGCGCTGTGCCGTGCATAAGTGCGTGCAATAAAAAAGGATGCTGACGAATGTACTTGTTAAATTTGTCAGAGGACCATCATCCAGCAGCGCGAATGAGATCAGGCGCCATTCCTGTGGCGGCAAGAGCAGTGGCACCACCTGCCCTCATTGAATGTCCATTTTAGTCATCTCACCCGAGCCTCTATCCGCTAGTTATTCACTTCTCCGAAGTCCCCAACTGTACTATTCATTTGTATTCGCGACACTAAATAAATTTGGGACCGAGTCCCCCGAGCATGAAGCTGGGGGACTCTGCTTGCCCTAAACATACAAGAACCATCAAGCGTAGATTGATTCAATGACTAGCAAGGACAAACAACTCGTCACACTTACCACTCCCATTCGTTCAGAACATGGATGATCCCCTAGATGCTGCATTTGTGACAGGGCTTTGCTATCTTCTGGCCCCAGTAGGCTGGCAGCCAGTCATAACAACCGTGCTCATACTTCTGTTCACTAGCCGTAACACTGTGCAACCTTTCCTGGCAGTTTTTCCCAGACATGTAGCGCCAGCACTTGAAAAAGCCATTGAGCACTCGATTTTGGAGTATACTGCATGGCTGCTCAGCTGCGCAGTTATCATGTACTCAATTCACTTATATTGGGAGAAACTCATCATGGTTGTCTCCATCTTCATCTTTTCTGTGTGCATCATCTCACAATGGGCAAGTTCCTGCTGGCATCAGTCACACAGCAAGACGAATGTGCTGGTGCGAGACGTATTTGTTACAGTCGGTGACCGTCATCCAGATTTGCTGTCTTTGGACCACCCATTATCTAAACTGGTCGTGAATACCAAAGCTGAGCTTGCAAAGGCTCATTCCCTCCTTTCCGATTTTGCTGCTGCCTCTGTGAATGTACACGGTTTATGTCTCTTTGGCGGTTCAATCCAAATAGTCCCATATTTCCTCCGCTTGGTCCGCGCTATTCAATGCTTCGTAATGAAGCGGACCTCCCGGAAATCCCGTGGCTGTCGCCCATTCCTAGTGCGATATGGATTGATAGACGATTGGCAAACATGTGGGAAGATGAAAGACGAACTGAACCTCCAGGATATAACGAGTATGCCCTCCTTTTTTATCCCGGCTGTTCGATATACTTAACGATGATTCTAAGCCAATGTGATCTCTTTCTCAAGGCCACCATTTGTCATGAGATGTTGAATTCAATCCTTTTGGACGTCGAGAAGATCGGACACCTTCCAGATGATGATTAAGCTTGTACTAATATTACGGAGGAATGTGCATTGATTATCTCATCTATATGGATCAGCGATAGCGATCAGTTGTAGATATTTGGAGCGCGGTAAGATACTGAACTCTGTATACTTCTATATCTTTCCCTTGCTTTTCGGACATCATCTTCCGACGGTGCTTGTTCTACTGGGAGCTCTGCTACGATATCTTTCAGCACTAAGATCATGTCATCGTGTGTGACAGGATTTTTAGGGAAAGTAGCAGACTTGCTGCCATTGGGTTTAATTTTCAAGGAGCCCGGAGGCGACAGCTTTGAGGCGAGATTTGCAAGACCTTTCACAATAGGCGGATGGTTGAAGTAATCTGAAAAGCATGCACTGCAGGTGGAAGACCAGTCCTCCACCTGGAATCTCTCCTGAGATATGTCTAGCCGATGGGAAGGCAGGCAATCTGGCTGCAGCCAGTTGGGTACGCAGCTAGGTCGTACCGTGCGTTTTTGGCTATAAGGCCCGATAAAATTGATGCAAATGGAAAGCATGACCCAGAGGAACGATTCCAGATCATGTCTTCGTCGTGGCGAACAACTCTTGTGCCACAATATTTCTGTTGCTAAGTATTCCTACAAAACCTCTAGTGGCTGAAATGACATAGGTCCTCAGAGGTCTCACCGAGAATCTATAGGAACTGGTCTTCTTGTGTTCAGGGTCCATGTGTTTTGTGAATCTCCACCCGCAGAGCATCGCTTGCCGTATGGGAGGTGTTCCGTCCGAATTCCAAAATGGTATGACACTCTCATCACTTGGATCATTCACGTGCAGACAGACAGAACGCAGATTGATGTCATTATGAAGCAGCTTGTGTGAGAAATACACGGTATGGTGGGCTATTGTGCACATTCTCTCCTGGTGCAGTCGACTACCATCATGATGATGATATATGATTTGGGTTTGATAATAGAAGGTTGGTGAGCTCCTGCTTATTGATGTTTGAGGAATTTCTACGCGACGTGCATGCCCATCTGTTCGAACTTAAAGGGTAGTACCATCATCCTGTAATAGATCTATCCGCATAAACACAGCTGCTAGCTACAATTAGTGATGTGTTGGCCCGGCTTGGCCTGAAAGCCGTGGCTTTGGCCTGGCTTGAGGCGGCTTTGGCTTTTGACAACCTCAGGCCAGGCCGCGAGCCAAAGCCAGGCCAAAGCCATGGCTTGGCTTTGGCCCAGCCACGGCTCATAGTGGAGGAAAGTTAGAATATACATTTAGGAACTACTCTAGACTAGTACTGTAGAGATACGACACTAGGTTCGTCACAGGTCACAGCCCTTAACGAATCGAATCTATTTGGTGTGACTGTCACATGAATTTTTGGTGGGACGAAGCTAATTTGTGACATATGGGAAAAAAAACATAGGTTATGCGCTAATGGGACCAGAAATCATCATACATCGAATTTGCGATGCGTCTACGCTTTCCACGCCCGTAATCAACCTTCGGAACACTATTCGAGCCACTCTCCACATCTTTGGCAGTAATGTCACCCACATCATAGACTTCGGAGTGGTTTGAACACAGAAGTCCGCCATCTGCATCGATACGGCAGTCAGAACGGACGTGTTCACCCCCGGAAGCCATATGATCAAGGAGTGCATCCATTGGCACGTCACTGGCATCGAGGTCATGCTCGCTAGCATCGTCGAAGGGGGATTCGGCTCCGGTAGTATCAGTGGCCTCGTTCTCTGACTCGGAGTTTGTTGCCTGGTCAACGCTGACAGTCTTGTACTGAGCAGTAGCAATCCTCATCCATCCAGCTGGATCATTCTTCTGAACATCACATAAATATTGCAACACCTCTCGACTTGCGAGGCTCGCGAATCTCCAATTCCACTCGTTACCAGTCAGCGCTATGCGAGGCGAATCCATGACAGACTGAAGCAAGTTGCTTGAATCACGAAGCAGCATGTCAGATGGTTGCAAACAGCGTTGCGAGCGGCGAAGCACTACGATCCGCAGGCGAATCTATTTGGGTAAGGTCACAGGTCACCTGGACATTCGAACCTGTAAGACTAAGCGTGACATCGTCACGGGCTGCACGTGACGAACCTAGTGTCGTATCTCTACAGTAATCTGACATGTCAGATACAGATATGTCATCACTGTTGTTGTTGTTGTCTTCCAAAACTTATGTGTCCCAACTCTCTTTGTCGTCTGCAACATCACCCACCTTCTCTGAAACACTGGCTTCAGTGTCAGAGTCATTGAACTCTTCTTCCATGAGTGACGATGGCCCAGCCTTGCGAAACAAAAGATCACGACGTAGTGAGCATTTAAGACTTTGGAGCGCTTCCACTATATCACCTTTGAGCCGATTCTGACGTTTACTGATTGTGATTCCGCCTTGTGAAAACGCTCGTTCACTTGAGACAGATGATGTCATGATGGAGAGATAGTCGCGTGCAAGTGATGCCCATGTTGAGTACCTCGGTGCATTAATCTTAAGCAACATTAACATTAGTAATGAGTTTCAGAGTAGCATATGATATACTCACACCCCACCATTGAATTGTGCTCATTCCGGCAGGTGGAGCAGCCTCAATAGTCTCGAGATAGCTTAAGAATTCAGCCCTCCATGGTCTTAATGGGTCTCCAACAGACGGAATGGCAGTGTTATTTGAGTCGTCATCATCAGAGTCACTGAGGACTTCTTGAATGAGCTTCTTGAGAGCACCTGTTTTACTTTTGTTAGTCGTTGGCTGTGACAACAATGACAATGTGGCCACATTCAACTCAGAATGACGTGCTTTGAACTTGATGTGAATTTGAATCAGATAGAAAAAAAAATAAGGGTAGATGACTAACCACACCCTCAGCACAGGAAAGCACGTCGTTGTGGAGATGTTCAGGCCATTGCTTCTTGAAATAGGACATTTTTGCAGTTGGATCGAGTACTATAAGTTACAATCAAAGTTAGCACAAATCAATTAAATGTAGTGATGTTCCGGCCTGGCTTTGGCTTGGCCTGAGGGGGCTCGGGCTCACCATATTTCAAGCCAAGGCCATGAGCCAAAGCTGGCCAAAAGCCACGGCTTGAGCCAAACGAAGCCGCAGCTCTTTTGCTATCAGTGCGACATTATATATTGTAGTGCAATAGAACTACGGAACAAGCAATGTGGAGCAGACCTAGTCTGTCTCAAAGTCAGACACCTCATCATCAGCTTCGTCATCAGCATCATCTTAATTGTGTGGCTGGTACAGGCGCTGTGAGTGCAGCAGGCTGAGAAACCTCTGAAGCACGCTTGGCGGCCTCAGCTGCACGGAAATCGTTGATAGCTTTTGTTTGGGAGGGAAGAGCCACTTTCTCCGAGTGTTGAAGGAGGGCAGCAGTGGGTTTGATTTTGCATATGGGACGCACAACACGTGGCTCGTCTTTGCCATCGGTGAGAACTGTGCCCGTCATGCCAGTCATTGCAGGCAGCTACACAGATAAAATACACACACATACCATTTATAAACGACTGAAGCTTGTTCAAGAATCCATCAAGCTCACAAAGCTGCAGCACAAAGTAGGACTTGAGAGGTGCATAGATTGCTGAAAACAGCGCAATATGATACGGTGGGTGATGTCTGTTTTTCCGTCACCGGGGTGAGTATTAGCAGAAGCTTTGAAAGAAGACAACAATGGCGACTCACCGTGTCATTCTGACATACCCTACAGTATGATGGACTAGGAAGCAAGAACCAAAGAGAAGCAAGAAAATGACAAAAATAGAGTCAACAATCAGGTTCCTGCGCAGTACTTACATAATTCTAAGCTGTGGCTTGGGCCGGCGGCTCAGGCTTCGCAGAATTGAAGCCTAGGCCAAAGCCCTTGTCAGGCCGTCACCTGGGCCTGGGCTTGGCCTGGCTCAATCTGGCCCGGCTTTGGCTGGCCCGGGGCTTGAAGCCGGGCCGGAACATCACTAATTAAATGATAAATCTGCACGTACAAATGGCCAATACATATGCTGGTGTATTTGTTGTCTTCTCGTAATACTTGTCCAACTTGGCTGCTGCAGCTGTGAGCGCAGGTGCGAATCGAGCATATTTCATTCTTTCAGCACGTGAAGACCAAGTCTTGTGCAGGGTTTCTAGTGCGGGAATAGCCAGATGTAAAGTCGAGCCCTTTTCAGACGAAAATGCCTGTTGAGCCACATCAGCGTACGAGAGAAGATCTGCAAATTGTCCGACACGCATCCACTCAGCAGTCGATAGCTGTAGGAAATCTATCTTGGCACGTTTTGTCAAGTCCCGCTCTTGCCAACCCATCTCGTATATGAATGTATCTACGTGCTGTACAAAACATTCTGAGTCAGATGTAATGAACACAGAGATATCAAGATGAAACTTACATCCCTATTTGTTTCAGCTCGGTTAAGCATTACAAATGTCGACAACCACCGAACTTTCATGTCAAGCAAGAGTTGAGTTGGCTGAGATACTCCTGCCTTAGTCTGAATGTTCTTGTAGAGTTCCTTTCGTTTCACAGATGAACGTTCCTGAGGGAGATCAATATATGATACAATGAGATAGTAGAGACGTTAACGTACCTTGACACAAATACTGCGGACAAGCCCAATTTCATCCCGATCCTCAATGTGTTGTGATGTATCAGGTTCATGACCTTTCGGATCATGAGGGCTGTAATGGGGTGCCATACTGTATGTGCTGAGGAAGGTCTGTGTTGTGAGGTTGATAACATGAGCTAAGCAACTATGAAAATCATAAGTTAGCAGTAAGACTTGTCAAGTAAATAATAATAGTGAAGTACTTGATCCTTCGCTGGCGCCATGGAAAGATTTTGGTGTATCTAACTTCATACACCCGTGCAAATTCTTCGAGTGTAGTACCATTATTCTTTGCATTATTGCATGTGATGTGGCCAAGCTAGAGAGAAATATCAGAACAAGAATGCCCTGTCACATGCGATTGACTAACCTTGTGCGCGGCACCAATCCGATCGAGAATCTTGAATAATGCACTACCAAGGCGTTTTCCATTGTGTGCATTGTTCACCTTTGTAAATCCAAACAACGCATTCTGGCATTCCCACTGTCCTGGATTGTTTTCTTTGATCCAATGACCAGTCACGGCAAAATATCCATCAGTGTTGCTTGCTTGCCACGCATCGCATGTGATGTTGATATCCCTGCTGACAGAAGTGCTCTGATTATATCAGATCAGACAATGTCAGATAGTGTTGACAACTGTACTTACATTCAGTTTCTTCTTGAGTCGAGATAGATGGTTCTTGAACATCCGCATGATCTCTGCTCGCGTGGCTTTTCGACCAGGAATTTTGACACCTTGAGTTGCGCGCGAGGCAACATCTACCATCTCCTTGAACTTGGGATGTTCGAGAGCCTGAATTGGCTTGTGGATAATTATCATTAGCATAGTAGTAGTTTATGATATTAACAATCCTACCTGGTCAGTTGCGATGAGCCACTCAATTGCAGCTTTTCGAAACAACCGGTGTAGAGACTCATGCCTCTCATTGTGCAATATGGCAGTTTTCACTGGGGAGTACATGGCACGAACTTGTAGCATCACTCTGTGTGCTACCCACAGCTATCCATATATGAGGCGCAGCTTTCCCACGCAACGCGCGCCATGCGCGCGTACCTTTCCCGCGCTTCACGATGTATATGCGCGCGCGCTTTCCCGCGCTT